TTAAAACAAAAAGTCTATTTTTTTTCAAAAAAAATTGTGTAAATGATTTTCATGATTTTTTGTATTGCCGGCTGAATATTTTCCCGTAATGTTTATCGTTGTATTTCATTATTATTATTATTATTATTATTATTATTATTATTATTATTATTATTATTTCTGTTGGTGGTGTACCATCTTTCTTGTTATACAAAAGAGAATTGTACTTTTTTTGTGCGTTTATGGTCAAATCGGTTTGTTTATTTTGGACCTCTTGTGCTTCTCTGAAACAGGGACGCTCTTGTTTTGTTTTATTTCATGTCAGTCTTTTGAAGTATCGTCTTTGAAATGGAGGAAAGGAACGGGACGTAAAGAGGGAGGAGGGGGGAGAAGGACTGGGGGGAGAGAAAGGAGGAGGGTAGGGAGATGGGAGAGAGAGTACAGGAGAGGAGGGGAGGAGGAAGAGGAGGCGAAGTTTATCCGATTCATTCACTATTAATCAAAATAATTCCTCCTTTCTCATTATTCTTATCTTTATCCATTTTTCGCTTTTCCTCCTTCTCATCCTCTGTGCAGCATTCTCGCCTCTCCTCTTCCTCCTCCTGAATTATCGCTCATTTCGCCTCACTGGTCAAAGATGCTCACCCTGTGTAGTCAATTTGCATAGTTTTCCATCTGATAACAGAATCCAACTCTATAATTCGAGTGGTTATTCGCGACTTCCTCCCATTCCTCGCTTATCTCTCTCTCTCTCTCTCTCTCTCTCTCTCTCTCTCTCTCTCTCTCTCTCTCTCTCTCTCTCTCTCTCTCTCTCTCTCTCTCTCTCGTATATCTTAGCTTAAATAGATTTAGCGCGTCTAATTACTTATAATTTCCTCCACTTAGTATGATTGAATGCCAAATATTAATATCCAACGTTACTTAGATCCGAGCCCAAAAGGTTCACCTTTTGTGTCAAAAGAGATAATAGAGAACAAAAAAAATAAGGGAAGTAGGAAGGAGGAAAGAAGACATGTTTGGGTGGTGTGTATTTTTTGTATAGACATAATAAAAAAAATTAAATAATAAATAATAATTTAAAATTAAATAATAAATAATAATTTTTTTTAATAATAAAAATAACCATCACTCTCGTGTTACTGTTATTTATAATTTGTTTTCTTTTCAGTTTATTAATCGTCAACAAAGTCTTTTATATATGTGGTTATATAGTTATAACTCAGATATACATATAAATATAAAATATATCTCTTGTATAAAATTTAACTTTCGACCAATGTTTTTTTTTATAGAAATTAATTTACCACTGTCGTTTTTATTTAGCAAGTAAATTGTGCAAATTAAATTCTGTTCCATTCATTGTTCCTCCATGCATGGGAAATATTTGTGCTAACATGGGAAGAGGGGGGGGGGGGAGGAGGTTCTGTCTTGCTGTTCTTAAAGATTTGCTACATGGAACAAAGTTCCAAGTAGCACGGGCTATGGCGAGCCCGTAGTGCCTTGAGGTTTTGTCATTTCTTCGTTAAATAACAGAATTGTTATTTATCTAAGAGATGGAACATTCATGGCGAGCAGCGTGTCCTGGGCCATTTTGCCTGACACTTTTCTCTAATTTAAAATGAGAAATTAATAGTAAACCACTTATAGAAGGTAAGAGAGTGAACTATAGAAGCTGAGGCAGTGGACTATAGAAGGTAAGAGAGTGAACTATAGAAGGTAAGAGAGTGAACTATAGAAGCTGAGGCAGTGGACTGTAGAAGGTAACAGAGTGAACTATAGAAGCTGAGGCAGTGGACTATAGAAGGTAAGAGAGTGAACTATAGAAGCTGAGGCAGTGGACTATAGAAGGTAACAGAGTGAACTATAGAAGCTGAGGCAGTGGACTATAGAAGGTAACAGAGTGAACTATAGAAGCTGAGGCAGTGGACTATAGAAGGTAACAGAGTGAACTATAGATGCTGAGGCAGTGGACTATAGAAGGTAACAGAGTGAACTATAGAAGCTGAGGCAGTGGACTATAGAAGGTAACAGAGTGAACTATAGAAGCTGAGGCAGTGGACTATAGAAGGTAACAGAGTGAACTATAGAAGCTGAGGCAGTGGACTATAGAAGGTAACAGAGTGAACTATAGAAGCTGAGGCAGTGGACTATAGAAGGTAACAGAGTGAACTATAGAAGCTGAGGCAGTGGATTATAGAAGGTAACAGAGTGAACTATAGAAGCTGAGGCAGTGGACTATAGAAGGTAAGAGAGTGGGCTGTAGAGGGTGAGACAGTGGACTATAGAGGGGTTTAGGTAGGTGCGAGAGGGAAGAGCTTCTTGCTCTAAATCAATCACCAACAGATGTCACAACTTTACCAGATGCTATCTTATTTGGGCCAAAATAATACATAAACTTCAGATATAACCCCAGATGCCCCCCTGAGAGTCCTTATGCAGGTTGTGGGTGGGTATGTTTCCATGTACGATGAGTAAAGGTGGGTATGTCTCCTCGTACCCTGAGTAAAGATACGATGGACCGGGATATCGTTACACACACACACACATTCTGGCTCCTCCATTCAAAGAGCCAGAGCTCAACCCTCGCAATCACAACTAGGTGAGTACACACCGTTCCCTTCCATAAATCCATCTTCCCACTCGTCTTACTTCCTCTTTACCATTTGGTCCCCTTCCTCCCCCTCTCTTCTTCTACTCTCTTCTTCACGTCATCCAACCTACTCACCATCTCCACTCCTCCGTCATTATCCTCCTTTTCACTTTCCCCCTTTTCCATTCCCTCTAACCTTTCCCATTCCCCCACCCCCTAGTTACTCCATTCTCCCTTCACCCCCTCTTCCACTCTTATTTCTCCTTCCACCTCCATCCTCTCTTTTCTCTGATCAACTGCTCTATACCACAGCAGTTAATCAGATAAAACTTTTTCTTCACAGTGACTCTTACCCCATCTCTCGCACCTCTTCCCCAGACACCTTTTCCCATCACCCTCCTGCCTATACACGTCCCCTTCCTTCCCCTCCTCTCTCCCTTTCCCATTTTATTCAGACCTGGAACCAGCGACTCCTCCTAAGGCAAAGGGAGGTAATTCCGACCTCTACTCCTCCATCATCTCATCCTACAGCTTCCAAACCCTTTCCCTCACTCTCACAGCATCCATCTCGACCCCTCTCACCACTCATCTCCATCCCTCTCTCTACCAATCCCTGTCACAACCTGCCTCTTATCCCCCTACCTTCACCCATCCACTTCCAAGCCCCCACTCCCTCCACCTGCATCTGCCCCATTTCCTATTTTCGCAAAGTGACCTTTGAACCCCCCATTTTGCATCCTGGTCTGATGTAGGGTGCCGCCATTAGCTGACAGCAAAGATTATATTACATTATATTTCACTGAATTATTAGGCTCTTTCAAAACTTTACTCCTTTGGCAAGTCTCGATCCTGCAAGTTTGTTAATTATTCATCATATAAGCTCTCTTCAGTTGGCATTTGTCTCTTTATTAATGTTATTGTTTTGCTAGAGATTTCCCCTTCCTGTTCTCACTCCATTCTCTCCTTTTCTCTCTCTCTCTCTCTCTCTCTCTCTCTCTCTCTCTCTCTCTCTCTCTCTCTCTCTCTCTCCAGGACAAAACACACATTCGCAGCTCCATTACTCTGGATTATCGAAGTAGTAATTGACACAGGTGACATTAATAATGATATAGTATAATATTTACACTTTTTTAATGGGTTTGTTTATCTAGAGATTTATTGTCTTTTTTTGGGGAGAGTACAGCTTATGTAGAAGGGGGGGGGGGATAAAGGACATATTTATTCATGTATTTTCCGTATCTGGTTTATTTGCATTCTGACTTTCTCTCGTTCGTCTGTCTTTCGGTCCTCGCTTCGCCTTTTCGTTCTTCTCCGCAGCTCTATTATTTATCTTATTTTGTCATGCTTTTTTTTCGTAAGCTCCCATTCTCCTACGCCTTATAACCCCTACTCTTTCTCTCTCTCTACTGATAGTCGCACTCCTCCTCTCTTACTTTCTCTGCTTTCCATAGCTTCCATATAGAAAGCTTTGCATAGCTTTCCCCCCCCCCCACCACCCATCTTTCATTAACCAACCGCATGAGGCAGGTGGGGCGGGAGCATGTGGGTAGGTGGGTGAAAGTATGGGTGGGGGGGGGGTGAGGGTCAGGTGGGTGGGTGTAATGCAATATTTTCATCCTGCAACCCACTATTATGTACACAGGTGAGACAACCCACCACTACCACCGCTGAGGGGAACTAATGTATATCCATTACCTCACTTCCTGCTGGCCTGGGTGTACAAGCAGGTGTGTGTGTGAGAGAGAGAGAGAGAGAGAGAGAGAGAGAGAGAGAGAGAGAGAGAGAGAGAGAGAGAGAGAGAGAGAGAGAGAGAGAGAGAGAGAGAGACAAAGAGGGGGGTGGGGTCAGGTCACTAGGGAATATAACAGATTAGCTGTCCGACAGATAAGCTAAATAAGTGGAAGCACACAGATGAAATAGCTGACTTACTGCGTGGGACTGTGTGATATAACCACCCCTATTGGTTGGCCTACAGGATAGCAAGTTGATGTGTTGAAAGACTTGTCAACAATCCCTGTCGAGTCATCTAAGTTGAGCAGGGAAAAGGGACAGGGACGTCCCAGTGTAGAACCTCGAACAACATAAGGATATCAAAAGGACAGGGCAAGAACAGCCCAAATGAAATGGATAAGATGAACAGAGCAATAAAGACAGGGGAAGAAGAATATTCAAAGACAAGCAGTTCAAGAGAATTAGGTATGAATAACACAGCAAGAACAAAGAACTGAAACATTCGACAGTCTCCAAGCGAACAATGATCTAAGTTCAAAAAATGCAAAAAATACGAAATATAGAACGAACTGTTATATAACAAAAAATAAACGCAAAGAACGAGGCATATGAAAGGGAATCGTAATAAAGAGAGGAGCAGAAGAATAAGGACACGAACAGAGCCAACCAATTAGGAGGAACTGAAATGTGTTTTAAAAAGATGGTGTCAAAGCAAAACAAGAAAGGTGAACACACCTACACACAGGTGAGTGAGGTGGCACCTGCCTCGCCCCTCCCCACCCCCCATATGTGCTGAGACCTGACCCTCCCTCATCCCTCCCCTGAGAGCCCTGCCTCACTGGACACCCCTGCACCACTGGACACCCCTGCACCACTGGACACCCCATGCTCCACTGGACACACCTGCACCACTGGACACCCCCTGCTCCACTAGACACCCCTGCCCCACTGGACACCCCTGCCCCACTGGACACACCTGCACCACTGGACACCCCCTGCTCCACTAGACACACCTGCACCACTGGACACCCCCTGCTCCACTAGACACCCCTGCACCACTGGACACCCCTGCACCACTGGACACCCCTGCACCACTGGACACCCCCGCCCCACTGGACACCCCTGCACCACTAGACACCCCCTGCACCACTGGACACCCCCTGCCTCACTGGACACCCCTGCCTCACTGGACACCCCTGCACCACTGGACACCCCTGCTCCACTGGACACCCCTGCACCACTGGACACCCCTGCACCACTGGACACCCCTGCCCTGGACACATTTTCAATACTACAATATGTGTAACAGTCTCTAATATGTACTATCATTTTTGGAGAATTTGTTGGGTATGAAGTATAATCAATGACTGACACGGCCGACAGCCCCCGTCCCTCACGTATAGTTCTGTTGATCTAAATTTGTTAATAGTTCTCTCTCTCTCTCTCTCTCTCTCTCTCTCTCTCCCTCCCACACTCCCCCTCTCCTCCCCCCCTTCCCCACAACTCTACTCCACTAAATGATTTATGATCTCCAAAGGCTTGGTGCAAAAGCGAGAAAAAGGGCTATGAATTTTTTGTGTAAACTTTGTGATGATTTGGATTCAATTTTTGGACAACATTTGGAGCATATTGTTCTAGGACTTTTTTTTCCACCCGTTTTCCATACACAACTTGAAGCCTCATATTGAACTGGCCAACAGAGTTTATAAACGGAGTGCTTTCACTCAGTAAGATTAGCTGTTGTGTTTTCAGTAGAGAAAAAATTCCCAGAGTATGGTATTTAAACCCACTGGTTTTCAATAATGATTAACGTTGAAATAAATATATATATATTGGGAATTTGACGTCGCTCGCTATAATATTTTAAGGCTATGCGCTACATAGCATTACAAATAAATGCTATTTTTTTAATCATATTTAGCATCGCGATTAATTATGCTGAAAAAAAACTTTTTTTTACACGTCCCATACAAACGAGTTCGACTAATTTGTGCAACTATTTGAATGATCCGGTTATGGCGTTGCCCGGAGGTATGAACTATTGCTATTGCCCAATCGCTGTCTCCATATGAACAATAGGTGTCAGGTGGCTGGCGGGTTTTCTGCTGCTGATTGTACTGCTTGTGGATGAGTGGGTGTTGTTGAATTGAAACTGAAATTGAAATAAGTTTATTGATGTAAAATACACACAAAGGGATAAGGTAGCTCAAGCTATTCTCACCCCGTTCAGTACATCGTGTTAATACATACATATACACACATCACAAACAAGGTGTTGGTGGTGCTAACAGTACTGTTGGTGGGTAGTGGGGGGGTGGTTGTTACTGTTACTGCTCTTGTTACTGTTGTAGCTTTCGCTGTCACTCTCACTCTCTCTCTCCACTTGTCAGATTTGCATCTCTTTCAACTATTATTAAATCTTGTGAGAGACTTCCTGGAGCAGAGAAGATGCCTGGATTACAAAGAGTTTTGCTTGTATTCAATAAAGTTTCTCCCTTTGTCTGTCTGCGTGGCGCTGGAGGCGCGTCGTCTTCCCCGAATGTTGAGATCCTCACTGAGAAATTCGATTGTTCTTGTTTTGTCGTCGTCGGCGTCGCCCCCGACGTCGTCGTTGTCGTCGATGGTCAGGTTTTAAAGGTTCTTTATCTTCTGGTGCCTGTCTTCAGCATCATCCTGTCTACCGGCGGAGTTCCGTCTTCTCCCCGTCTCCTACTGTCTATTTTCCTGGTCCTATTCCTTAACTTCAATCTCAGTCTTTCCTCTCAATTTTTTGCCACTTGGTAATCTTAATTTTTTCCAATTCTTCCTAATTTCTCTTTTCTACCAATTCTTCCTTTGGTTTCCCTATTCTTCTTCCTTTTCCTTCTCGTATTCTTCCTTTTCCGCCTATTTTTCCTATTTATCCTGTTCTTCCTCCTCCTCGTCCTCCTCCTCCCACTTCTCTCTCGTCTCTTTGTCAAATATCCTCCATCCATCTAATTTAATTACCGTGGATCATTCAGAATTATTCTGGTATCCCGATTAAATCCTTCGAATCCACATAATCTAAAAGAAATCCCCTGAAGTCGTCGAGGAAATCCCCCAGAGATTATGCAGCATATCGCTGGAATTCTACCTGGGAGTTATGGAATTTTCTCAAAATGCTCCAGAATTTATCCATTGTAGAATTGATTTCATGTTAGTATGATGAATATCCTGAAGAAATGGAATTTATTCCTTTGATTCATGATGTATTTTCTCTCTCCCTTCAAGATGAAATACAGAATTGATTATTTGGGGGATTTTTATGTTAAGAAATTGATGAAATTTCCATAGATATTCCCAAAATTTCGCCAGATTCTTGCCTTATACGAGACTGACCAAAGTAGTAAAATATCAGTTAATGGTGTCCATGGCGCATTTATTCAGTCGTGGACACATCGCCAGACTCATGTTAACGACCTCCCCCCCCCCCACCCCATCTTTAACGACGTCGTACGACAGCATGTCGTTATAGATGGGGGGGAGGTCGTTATGGGTCGTTCGCAAGGTGGAAGTGCATACACTTGTGAGGTTTATATAATCTTTGCCGAGGTAATGGAAAGTGGTCTGGAGGGGGGGGAGGGGGGAGGGTCGTTAGATGTTTACAACCTCCTCCCCAATGGGGGTTTATCACCCATTGTCTGTGGTCGTTGGTCGTTCACTTCCAGTTGTTTACCTTTCTTGTACCAGCTCTTGTTATTCGTCTCCATCTTGCTGTTGATGCTGTTGCTTCCTCCTCCTCTTCCTTTTCTGAGTATTTCTAGTTCTCCTTCTTTTCTGTCTTTTCATACTTCTCCGTTTCCTCATTTGATTTCTGTTTTCGCTCTGTTTCCTTCCTATTTTACCGTTACATCTTCTGTTTTTTTATTTTGTTTTGCTTTACTTCTTTTTCTCTTTCTCACTTAGTGTTTTTCCTTCTCCCTTTCATCCTTGTTGTCTCCTCCTGTGTAATTCTCACTCTGTTCTCATACACGCCACTACCACCACCAGCCTTATTCACGAATCCATCGTATATATATTATACATCTCCAGTGTTATACACAGTCATACTGGCGTGTATTCATCCCCTACCTTCCTGAAGCACTAATTATCTTAACGGACTTGTAATCCAGACGGCCCTGAGGATTAAAAATTTCCTTTGCAAGAGCCATGCGCATAGCGCCTTTAGGCTGTCTGTCGCTTACCTCATGGTACACACAGGGTGTGGGTGCTTGCTGGTGTGTGGTGAGACACCCCGCTGGTTGACGGGGATATACAACTGTATTGTGGACGGGGATATATACAACTGTGTTGTGGACGGGGATACACAGCTTTACTGTGCAGCCACAGCGTCCTGCCTCTCGCTTTAGGTCTAGTGCCTGATCTTTTGTCACAATTTACTCGGCCCGTTTTCCTTTTTCGTTAGGTCTTGATGTGCTTTTCCGTTCGTTTCTCGTAGCCAGGTTTGTTTACCTGTTTGTTTATCCTTGCTACTTGTTTTTGTTTACTTTTTATCTTTTCCTGTTCGCGTTATACTCGTGGCTTTGTTTATTTGTCTTTTGGTTCTTTTTTTCTGGAATATATTAATTTGCTTTTATCGGTCGATCTCCATATATATACATATATCTTGAGGTTATCCTGAGATGATTTCGGGGCTTTTTTTTTAGTGTCCCCGCGGCCTGGTCCTCGACCAGGCCTCCACCCCCAGGAAGCAGCCCGTGACAGTTGACTAACACCCTGGTACCTATTTTACTGCTAGGTAACAGGGGGCATAGGGTGAAAGAAACTCTGCCCATTGTTTCTCGCTAGCGCCCGGGATCGAACCCGGGACCACAGGATCACAAGTCCAGCGTGCTGTCTGCTCGGCTCCCTAGTGCTTGTTATTTGTTCGTTTATTAACTCATGTAGTTTAATTTATATATATATATATATATATATATATATATATATATATATATATATATATATATATATATATATATATATATATATATATATATATATATATATTGGTAGCAGTCTTTCTTGTAAACATATGTTGTTGAATATGACCGAAAGGATAAGATTAACGATTCTAACACAAATATTCTCAATATTTCTTAAGTTTTTCTTCACTGTCGGGGGTAATTGAAAAATTAACTCTCCAAAGTTCATTTTCTCATTTTTTATGGTGTGACTCCTAAAAGCGTTTCGTTTTGCAAGGACTTCTCACATTTTCAGACAGGTTTACACATATCATTTCATGCTTATATTCATTTTGGGTGAGGTGATACCTTACCTTACCTTGAGGGGGCTTCCGGGGCTTAGCGTCCCCGCGGCCCGGTCGTTGACCAGGCCTCCAAACCCCCAAACCAATTTGACATGACAAATGTTTTTGGGTGAGGTGACACGAATCAATGGGTATAAATTGCATATGAGAACATAAGAATGAAAGTAACTACAGAAGGCCTATTGGCCCATATTTTCTCTTGATGCTTTCATGTTGGTTCGGGGTCTTGAAGTTGGTAGAATATAGTTATGAGTTAATTGGCTGGTGTTGACTTTTTGATGTGTAGGGCCTCGCTGATGTCGAGTCTCCTGCTATCGCTGTATCTATCGATGATTTCTGTGTTGCTTGTTAAGATTTCTCTGGTGATGGTCTGGTTATGAGAGGAGATTATATGTTCCTGGATAGAATAAATATATTTTCATGATATATAAATATATCATGTCTTTTTGATAATATTGTCCTCATCATTTACTCATTTTTTCAACATTTACCCATAGATATAACATTTAATGTCCTCAACGTTTTCACCCAAAAAGATCTGCCAGAAAACTCTGTTTAGTTAAAGTTATCCCAATTCCCCTTAGGCCTATATTAAAAAAAATATATATTGGATCGACTCCATGATTTATTGGATCCTTCAAGAGTCTTGGCATTTCTTGGGCAGCCATATTATGATAGAGACGTGGATCTCTCAGCTACATTAATCCACCCTCTACATCGTTATCTTTATAACATAAGTCCCCTGCGGGCTCACCATAGCCCGTGCTACAAGGAACTTTTTCTTCCAGAGTAGCAAATGTTAAACAACAAACAACGTTATTACCTCTCGTTATGTCTTAAGCTAACCATATAGATTATAGATTTTTCCTTCCCATGGGATGACAGGAACTCAAGAACGACATCGTTAATTTCCTTAAGTTCCCGTCTTACTTTGTGTATATGTTTACGAGTCGTACTGTCTTGTTAGTTGTTAGTCTCCCCGTTTTCTTTTCTAAACAAAATGTTGATTTTAATCCTCTCTCGCCAACTGACTCACACGCAACGTTTTCTGTCGTCTTGCAGGTAGAGAGGAAACGACACATTGGGAACGACATCGTCAACATCGTATTCCTGGACGGCACCGTCGACGACATGGCCAACTTCTCACCTTCATTCATCAAGTCCCAGTTTACTCGTATCCTTTGTTTGACAGTGTTTACGTCAGGTCCTAATTAGAGACTTGTTAAGGGTGCAGTGATATTCAAAAATTGATTTGATGATGAAAAGAAGATAGGCTGCAGCAGCGCCGTCAAACTGCATAGGCAAATACTCTTAACAGAATAATGCAAATATTTTACGATTGTCCCATTTCGCGACATCTTTCCACCCCACTCCCCACCCCCCTTGATCGCGAAATTAAAAAACAGAATAAGGCCAATTTTGGCGCTATAGTCTCTCTCTGGAACTTAGAAACAGTTTAGCATCGGCAGCCATTTGTTTTAATATTTTGTTTTTGTGTCTTTTGCATTTTTGGGTTATCATACGGTGTTTTGTGTTCTCCGAGGGGCTTAAAACATCATGACACCCTTCCCAGCAAGGAGTTTTATGGGCTCCAGAAGCTGTAATCTTTGATAGGCTGTCAGCTACGTTTTATTATTTTTAGCTTTCATCGCTGTAGAGTCCGTATAATATAGGGTCTGGGAACTTTTACTGTTCTTAATTAGTCTCACACGACTTTTTTTTTTGGCGGGGGGAGGGGGTGAACGGGGTTTTTTAGTCTGTGTTTTATTCTTTTGGGTTTTGCTTCTTTCTTGTGTTTTTGGTTTCAGGTTTAGTTTTTTCTTTTCCAGTTTCGTCATCTACTTTTGTTCCTCCCCTTTTTTTTTGTTTTTGCTGTTCCCTTTTTTTTCCATTCATGTCTGTTCTTTTTATTACGTAATTTTCATGTTAAGTCGTAACTGCATCATGAGCTTTAGATCTAAATGATCCTATTAGAATTATAAAATCAAGAATTATTTTTTACCTCCTAACCAATTCCAATTTCTCTTCTCCCCCACCTTCCCATCTCCTCTCCACCTTCCCACCTTCTCTCCTCTCCACCTTCCCACCTTCTCTCCTCTCCACCATTCTCCACCTAGTTCCTCCCCTCCACTTTCCTCTTATTCTCCTCCTCCCATCGTCTCCTCGTTCATCAGCTCATTATATATTACCGCATTATATTAATTCCAAAATAATACGGAGAGCAGTTCGTAGTTTGTAATTCATTGGTTAATAAATTCTGTGGGTGAATTTCGAGCTAATGTGCGTACGGACTTCCGGGAGGCATTTCCTAATGGAACATACTAAGCCTTGTAAATATGCTAATTATATTTATGCCACATTATTTATATATATATATATATATATATATATATATATATATATATATATATATATATATATATATGTATTGTTTGCATGTAATGGTAAAGTACTCAAGTTTCAAAATACAGTAGTATTAAAAGCAATATTCATGCCAGTCACATAATTTTGTTGCATAGTGACCAAATCAAACAACTCCCAAATAAGAGTGCAATACACTATTCGGGTTTTACGTGTCTGGCGTTCGAGGTGTGTTTGTTTCCTGAACCTGTGGTGGCAGATGTGTTCGCCTTGGTGTCGTACCTGCCGGAGGAGGATGCCTACCGCCTTCAGGTGTACTCTGAGGAGACCGTGCCTCTCTTTGGGCCCTCCCTGCCCTGCCCGCCAGTCTTCTACAACCAGGAAGAGTTCCGGGAGTTCCTTCTTGTAAAGCGTAAGTTCCTTTCCCTATCTTCCGTTGTTCTGGTTAAGGTGGATTGTCGTTTCGAAGGACGTCGGAGCCGACCCGACCCGAGGGCTAACATCTCACACTTTCTTTTATGCGTCTAATGATGAAGTTTTATCTCATCTACGAGTCGTAGATGAGATAAAACGATGAGATCGAAGTCTCGTGGGCATCGAAGTCTCGTGGTTCATCAAGGCTGTGGTGGGGGATTGTCTATTTTTTTGTTCGCGAAAGCCTTGATTTTCTTTTTTTGGGGGAAAGGCATATTTTTTTGTGCATGTCAGCAGCTGTTTTCATAACGTTGTTCGGAGTGGACAATGTGTTGGTGAAAGCCACAGTGGTGTATTTTCGTTTTGTAGAGTGTTTTGAGTGTGTTCTGTATTTGTATCAAGTTGGTGATGGTGTGCAATTGTGATGATGATGATGATGGTGAGGATGTTGATGGTGTTATGGCTGATATTGATGAGGGAGGAGGGGTGATGAGTGTTTTAGGTTGTCATGCTGATGTTGGTGGAAGTTGTGGTGATGCTGGAAATGTGGTTGATGGTGAGCGTGGTGGTGGTGGTTGGTAGTTATGGTGAGAGAGGTTGGGTGTGAGAAGTGATATTGGTTGTGATGGTAGTTGTGGTGGTTGTATAGGCACTTGTTATGGTGGTGGTGGTTGTGTTATTCGTTTTAGTAGCATAACATCACTAGTATGAGTATAACTGTTGTACAATTATAATACAAATAATAATTAGTTATTATTATTTATACATATAAATAATTTGTTTACCGAGCAAATTACAAAGAATGACGTCATTGTGAACAGTAATCACTGTTCACAATGGGCGGGGGTGGAGGCCTGGTCGAGCGCCGGGCCGCGGGAACACTAAGCCCCGAAATCATCTCAAGATAACCTCAAGATACCCAAAACAAAATCTTCCTACGCCATGATGACTCTGATCAACCAATCAGAACTGTTTTGAGATATGAAGCAATGCAATTGACTCATTGATACGGTGTTTCGGCTGTGACGTCATGTGCATTAGATAATCAGAGTTCGTTATGACAGTATCAGTGATGAACGAATCAACCAATTACAGTATTTCGAGGCAAAACAAAAATACAATTTTTGGTTGTATTTTTAGTTAACACAAAACAAAAATACAATTTTTGTTTGGTGTTCACGTAAGTGTTCCGAGCCGGAAGTGGGACAAACTGCCAATTTGTTTGTTTCAGACAAAAAAAAATTGTTGTTTCGCAGGAAATTTAATTACATAATGTTTAGTCATTGACCAGTGTGTTAAGTTTAAATTAAACCATAATTTGTTTATTTAAATATATAAAATTACACACACACACACACACACACACACACACACACACACATACACACACACACACACACACACACACACACACACACACACACACACACATACACACACCCACACACACACACACACACACACACACACACACACACACACACACACACACACACACACACACACACATACACACACCACACACACACACACACACACACACACACACACACACACACACACACACACATACACACACACCCACACACACCCACACACACACACACACACACACACACACACACACACACACACACACACACACATACACACACCCACACACACCCACACAGTGTTGTGGTGGAGGCAGACTCCATACACAGTTTCAAATGTAGATATGATAGAGCCCAATAGGCTCAGGAATCTGTACATCAGTTGATTGACAGTTGAGAGGCGGGACCAAAGAGATAAAGCTCAACCCCCGCAAGCACAAATAGGTGAGTGAGTACACACACACACACACACACACACACACACACACACACACACACACACACACACACACACACACACACACACACACACACTCACTCACACAAACCCACTACATGAGTAACAGCAGAATTCTGATTCACGACACAATGGGAATCACTATACATCATAAAGACCGCCAGTTCCTTGCGCGGGTTTAAATATAAATACGAAGAAACCATTGGAACTTTGGCAGTCAGCATGACCATGATTGATGAATAGGGACGGGGTCCCAGAAGCTGGAGCCTGACTCCTGTAAATACAAGTATGTGATCACAAGTTGTCTGTGCACATGTACGCATGACTTACGAAAATCTGGCGAACATACAAGTAACATAAAAATATGTTCCGAGTTCAGGGATTACCGATAACATTGGCTCAAGAACTAAGAGGACTGAAGTACGTGAAAAGACTTGAGGAACCTATAGCTTAATACATTAGGCAAGATATGGGAAACATGAGACATGATTCCCACGTGTAAGATACTAACGGGGGTATTAACAAAGTAGTTTAGGACGAAATGTGTTGTATGTGCAATTGCAGAACAAGAAATGGTTCATATCAAGAACTTCAGACGCTGGCGACTCGCTGAAAGAGAGTTATTTAAGAGCCTTTGCTCGGCAGTTCCGACACATTTAAGCGAGTACAATTCAGTAAAGACAAAATACATGCAAGATTTAACCCCCACAATGCCCTACTCATCACGTCGTCAGACTGCCAGTAAAAGCCTACCCTCTCGACTTTAACCCCCCTTCAAAAAACCAGCTAACGTGTCCTATTATTACTGTGAATATTCCAGTGTACAATATTTGCGTGTGTTATATTTTTCAATCGGGAGGCAGGAGGCAGGAAGCAGAGTCCTGAACACGCCGGCTCGGCCCCCCTGATTGTGTGGAGAAATGAATTTTTAACGTAATGTTTGAGCGGGGCTCCCGACCCCCCCATCTTTGCCAAGCTCGCTATAGTTGACTCAGGTCGGCTGATACCATTCACGGCGCGCACTTGACTTCTGGTCTCGACAGAACCTACAAAATTGAACCTTTACCTTTTTTTTAATAAATAAACCTGCGTTGAATTTTTGATGATGTTTTTCTTGGATGTGGTGGTAAATTTCATTAAATGTTTAATCTTTTTTTTGTGGTATCAGTGTGTTTGTATGTATTATGGAATATAACAGAAAGGGTTAGATTCTACCACGAATCTGCTCTGTATTTGTTACTTTATTTTCACTTGAAGAAATTGAATAATATTAACTTAAAAATTAATGTTACAGGTTTTATATGGCCTGAGGCTAAGAGATGTGTCTCCTAGGGTTCGTCAACATGTTAAAAGACTCGTAAAAAAAGGGAGAGATAGAAAAAAATAATGTCTTAGAAGACATTATTGAAAAAAACGTGACCTGTACCCACACCAGCCAGAAAGTAAGAGTTGACAGTCTACCTCAAGAGCAAGAAGACCGTCAACTTGCTCATAAAGAACTCTCCGAAGACCCCAAAAGAAATGAGAGCCGAATGTTGTCTATATTGATGACCAGACCACACACTAGAAGTTGAAGGGACGACGACATTTCGGTCCGTCCTGGACCATTCTCAAGTCGATTGTGTCTATATGCCTTCGCTTGCCCACTTGGGGACTACTAGCCCCTACGAACTCAATATATAAGACTAAGAACATCTCTCTCGAGGCGCCAGACAATGAACGAACTAGACTACATCAATGAATATAATTTCTACATACACCCCCGTCCACTCGAATTGTCACAACGGACAAAAAATAATGTACTAAATTGCCCGAATCTAACCTAACTTAACCGATGGACTTACCATTTTAAAACATTTACTTGCGAGCGGCTATGATTTATAGTACATCATGTTTCGTGCGTTTAGGATTTTGATGTTTGAAAATGAGACCAAAATGCTTTGTTTACAACCTGTTCAAGAGGACAGGTTGTAACCAAAGCATCCCCAGAGATAACCCTGACCAACAACACCGAGATAATCGACAAATACAACTGTAGAAGATTAGACATTGTCGAAGCACTACACATCAAACAATCTCATCCACCTATCAACAGCCAGCTGACACTCGGGTACATTCAACCAACCTCAGGACCAAAGCAGATTGTTCAGCACACTGCCCTCAGCTATTATAAGAACACAAGAATTCAGGAAGATGCAGAAATCCTATTGGGCCATACAACACCTTACTTAACCTTATCCTTCTTGGTTATATATCCTCGCTTGGCTCAACTCCAGTGTACCACCTAGTCTCTGTCATTAAAAATGACAGCGAAACACATCTCTTAGGCTCCCCCGGGTGCTACATATCCACTTCTTCGAGGCCGAGGGTCCCTACACACGCAACCAGAGGTGATACCTCAATATATATTATATATTATATATATAATATATATATAATGTGTAAGTGTGTATTATATACAGGGTAGAATATTATTTTAAACCTGCCTTGACAGTGACTAGAGCGAACATCCTTTGTACCAGTTCCTCAGTGTCTGGCATGAAATTTAATATCTCCAGGCGGTATATAAACTAAATTTGCTGAGTACATTTTTATGCTGACGTTTTATAGCTCCGGCAATTAGCAACGTATTTACACACGCACACACACACACACACACACACACACACACACACACACACACACACACACACACACACACACACACACACACACACACTGTAGCGCAATAGGCTCTGCCGTCGACGCAAATATGAGGATCCCGGGTTTATATATATATATATATATATATATATATATATATATATATATATATATATATATATATATATATATATATATATATATATATATATATATATATATATATATATACATATATATATATATATATATATATATATATATATATATATATATATATATATATATATATATATATATATAATGAAGATGTAGAGGAAGGAGAAGACCAGTTTCCCGGGCGAGTGCCTCTGAGGAAGCCCTTGAAGCCTCACCGCCACCAAGTCACACAAAAGTGGGAAATTTCTTCGCCAGAACTGCAGCCAAAGTTAGATCCAAATAAACAGTTCCAGGATGAGAAACTTGGCCATAGTGGGGAGTGAAGTGCACGGGACCCGGGATCACGGTGCACGGTACCCGGGATTACTGTGCACGGGATCAAACAAACCCTCGACAAACTTAAAAAAAAATGTTCCAAGAACTGGTTATTAGAGTTCAGCTCTAGTAAATGTAAAATAATGAATCTAGGTGCAGGGAGCAGGAGGCTGGATAAAAGATGTTAAATGAGAGATGAAATCTTTCAAGAATCAATTGGCGAGAAAGATCTGGGGGATTGATCACCGAACTTTTCTTCTGAAGCTCAAATATCGAAAAGATATATATATCAGTGGCAAATGCTAGGTTCGTCAAGATAGAAACTACCTTTAGAAATATGTGTAATGAATCATTTAGAACCTTGTATATCACACACTTACGTCAGACTAACGAGTGCGCAGCCCAAGCATGGAGCTCCATATCTGGTCAAGCACAATGCCAAGTTACCAAAAGTTCAAAAGGTATGCCAACAGATTTCCAGAACCGAGAGGTATATTCGTTATGCGGAAAGGAATTATATCGCTCCTAGAGGAATTATAGCGATTATATTATACGAGGTATTATAATTCCTACAAGAATTATAATTTATAATTCCTACAATGATTATAATTCCTACAATATGACAAGCTTGGCTCACAAAATAACAGGCTTGCCTCACAATATAGCAGGTTCGCCTCACAATATAACAGGCTCGCCTCACAATATAACAGGCTTGCCTCACAATATAACAGGCTTGCCTCACAATATATAACAGGCCTCACACTGCCTCTCGTAACACATCTCTAACCCGTCCATGGTGGACAGAAGAAAATGTATATATGCTGGCTAGCATTGTAAATGTGTGGCCACGTCTGTGGTAGAAAAAATAAAACTGCCTCTCGGATTTTTCCACACTACCTCCACTCTTCCTCAGAATACAATTCACCAGAGTAAATCACATGCAGTATTTATACGCGTGTATGCTAAAAAAAAAACACGATGGTGTATATATATCGATCAATTAAAAAAAAAATATTGGAAATGTCGAAATAAACTCGCTGGTGACTGCAGATCCACCAACCCGGGTTCATGATGACCCATTGTTCCCCCACCACAGCCTCCTCACCTTCCTATCCTTCCTACCCTCCCCTACCCAAGACCCCAGCTTCATCGTCCCTCTGTCTCTCTCTCTCTCTGTCGCTTCTCTCTCCTGCTCCCAACCTTCCTCTCCCACACCCGTCAATGATGCATCAGCCTTGACCTTTCAATATGTACAAGAAAAGTTATAAACTGTTTTGCTGTATATTCCCGCTGTTTTGACGGTGGAGGCTGAGGTTATATTCTGTGGCTGGAGACTGTGCTAAAGGATCGGTCTGTGGCTGGAAGCCGATCTAGAGTTTGAGGCCAAGCCTGAAGCAGGAGGGCCGAGGCTGTGCCTGGAGCTAGAGCTCGAAATAGGGCCTAGAGGTCGAGCTGGGTCCCGAAAGTCGGGTGATGGTGGAGATGGAGCAGGTTGGTGAGGGGGACATAAAAGTTGAGGATTGAGGATATGGTCCGAGTTTAGGTCTGAGGCTGGAGTTGGAACTGGAGCCTAGGCTGGGGGAGCCTAGTCTAGGCGCACTACCAGGGAACTGTCAAGTACTGTACTGAACTCTAGTGGGAGGTATGTAGCCCATCATGTAGTCTAGGGTGGCTACATAAACCCCCATGTACCCCCATGTACTTAGAAATACAGTATTTCACATACTGTATTTCTAAGTCTTGGTACAATTTTGTTGTGACACCTTACAATTTATCACTGTCCTTTCTGAAATATGATTAAAAATGGGATTTAATATTCCCAAACTGTACAAAGCGAGTATGTCTTTCTGGAAAGCCGAACGGTCTTTCAATGAAGCCTAATACTCAATTGGTAATTTTTGTTACAGATTAAAGTCACAAACGTTACGGATTATTCATGTCCGTGCCACCTCTTTGGTGGCTTAATCTTCATCAATCAAACAATCACAAAACGTACTTACACTGATCCTATATTTCGTCTAATTTAAATATACCGCCACGAGTGAATAAACTCCAAATCAATGGCTGTTGAACGGTAACAACGCTCATACAGGAGCAGCAGTTCCAGACTAGGTTCCACCTAGTCTCAGTTTCCAGTACACTATTATGACTATATAGCACTTGGAAGGGGTCAGGATAAGGATTTGGGATGGGACGGAGAGAAGGAATGGTGCCCAACCATTTGGACGGTCGGGGGATTGAACGCCGACTTGCATAAAGCGAGACCGTCGTTCTACCGTCCAGCCCAAGTGGTTGGGCTGGCCAATTGGAAGGGACCATCTGTCCAGGGGCCACAGTAGGGAGGGGGAGGTAATTGGCTCAGCAATAATGCATCATGGGATTAAGCGGTACACACACATAAAAAAATGAAGGTTGGTCCCCCGTCCTTCAAAGGGCCGAATGTCGGAGAAAATAATTGGTGTTAGAGCCCATAATTCACCTGATCACGTATGCGATTGAAAGCCTTGAACTAATCGATGCCTCCTGCAGGGTGCTGGGAGTGCGAAAAGGGAGCTTGGTCCCTGGCTGGCGCACACAGCGACCAATGAGAAAACTGAATCAGCTTGGCCCTTACTTGTTGATTGGCTCTGCGCGATAGTACGTTCAAAGATGACTGACTGACGTACAGGGAAGCGAGAGCAAGGCATATCAACATAACAAAATAGTCATTCCTGAACGTAAAATGTCAAATTAGACGCATTAGATAAGAACTGTCTTAATTTAGACAAAACAATACTTTGTTATGTTTTTGATTTGTATTTCTACTAAGGTTGTTTGTGTTTATTATCGTGTGTGTGTGTGTGTGTGTGTGTGTGTGTGTGTGTGTGTGTGTGTGTGTGTGTGTGTGTGTGTTTTGTCACGTGTGACAGTGGCATGCCGCGCCCAGAGAGTGTGAAAGATAGCGAGGGGTGACGGAAGAAGGGTGGTGACAGGATGAGAAGCATGAGTAAGATAATGAATATCGAGAAAGAAGGCGTGGAAGAGATGAGGAGTGGAGGCTGAGAGGAGGAAGGAGGAAACCCCGACAGCACAAAGGTGCGATTAAAGTACAAGGAAGACATCAGATAAGTGGAGAGAGAGAGAGGGGGGGAGGGGAGGGAGGAATGGTGAGGACCCACACCAATTAAAGTTCTATCCTTCGTTAGCGAGAGTTTTGTTGTAGTTGTGTGGGCGGCTTGTCCAGTAATTGCTGCTATACTGCCCAGTGTGTGGCTCAGTCACCTTCCCTGCCGCAGTCCTCTTCACCTCACGCATGGAGAGAAATACATTATATATATATATATATATATATATATATATATATATATATATATATATATATATATATATATATATATATATATATATATATATATATATATATATATACACACACACACCAGGGAACTGTCGAGTACTGTTGTGAACTCTAGTCGCTAGTGGGAGGTATGTAGCCTGTCATGTAGTCTAGGGTGGCTACATAAACCCCCATGTACCCAACTATGTTAACAAAAATGTTAAATAGTTGTGATTGAAGACAGGAGCGGACAAGACAAGAGTCTGTGACATTGTCTGTATCAAGTGACGATTGGTATTAGGTGTTCTGACGTCTGTTATTGTTCACGTGGTAAAGCGTAACGAGAGGTATAACAGTTCTCCAAGATGTGTGTCATCACTTTGTTCTTTCCAAAGTTGTTGGCGCTGACACCATTTTGTGATTAATATCTTGTAATTTGTCTATTTGATTCCCTCCCTTTTGAGTTCTCGTAATAATGTTTCTATTTCATTCAATTTCAGCTCACGTTTTAGGATTTAGACTTAAAACAGTTTCCATTCTATACCATTCTGCCTCTCGCCCTCCTCTTCTGCTCTCAGCCAGTTATAAAACTGCTCCTAAAATACACAAGTTCCTATTGGCCCTTACAAAAAGCAACACTCCAGAAACCTTCTATTTTGTCTCCATCTGAGCCTTCATCAACCAATAACAACGCTCCGCCATAAGGATAACCTTTCTTATTGGTACTCGAGAGAATTCTACACTCTTGTTAAAGAATGTCTCTGTCCCCTCTTCTTGGTGATGTTCACCTAGTGTCTGTCTTGGTTACAGTGATCAACGGTGAGAAGGCCACCTTCAACACCCCGATCTTCTCCCAGAAGAGAGAGCGGACGCTGGACATGCTCATCAAGGACTTGTATCAGGAGCACATCAACGACAACAGAGGGGTGAGTGCAGACGAGGAGCCACAGTAACGTGGCTGAAATATGTTGACCAGACCACACACTAGAAAGTAGAGGGACAACGACGTTTGGGTCCGTCCTGGACGATTCTCAAGTCGATTGTCTTGAGAATGGTCCAGGACGGACCGAAACGTCGTCGTCCCTTCACTTTCTAGTGTGTGGTCTGGTCACCAACAGAGGGGGGTGAGTGCTGTCCTAAACTTTGTATCGTGTTCCATTATTCTTAAAACGTTTTCTAAGGTCATAATATCCACAGTGAATTCATAGGTATCTTAGTATAGTATATACTTAGATTGATGTAGATTAAGCCACCCAAAAGGTGGCACGGGCATGAATAGCCCGCAAGTGGTGGCCCTTTTGAGCCATTACCAGTATCAAGAGCTGATACTGGAGATCTGTGGAGGTGCGACTGCACCCTGCGTGACGGGAGATGTCTTCCCGTCGGCGATATACTTAGATATACTTGTAAGTTGCAATATGATGTAGACGGCGAGTACCTCGGCTATACCGACCAGCCCAGACATTAACGAAGTAAATGGTCGAGCTACGAGCGTTATAACCCCCCAGGGACAAGGGATCTATTGTTGTCAGGGATATCGATAGGTTGGGCGGGTTGCCCTACGAGGCGTACGCTTTAAGTCAGGTAAAACAAAAAAATTACAAATTTGACGTTTGGCAGATGATGTGAACAGCTCGCCCCCTCACATAACACAACGACCAAGATGTGAATAACTACATCACGACCACAACATTTTTCCACAACGGCTGACAACTATTGAACACGACTTGTAACGACGGAATTACCCGTGACGATGTGAAATGACAGAATTACTTATAACGACAGAATTACTCATAACGATCTGAAATGACAGAATTACTGGTAACGATCTGAAATGACAGAATTACTGGTAACGATCTGAAATGACAGAATTACTTATAACGACAGAATTACTCGTAAGGACTCATGCCAACCACTTGGGCTGGACGGTAGAGCGATGGTCTCCCATCCTGCAGGTCGGCGTTCAATTCCCAACCGTCCAAGTGGTTGGGCACCATTCCTTCCCCCCAGTCCCATCACAAATTCTTATCTTGACCCCTTCCTAGTGCTATATAGTCGTAATGGCTTGGCGCTTTCTCCTGCTTGTTCCTTCTTTCGTAACGACCTACAACGAGAGAATGACCCGTAACGACCTCCAACGACACCAGGCCTCGTCACCACCCCCTCCTCCCACTTAACCCGCACCAATTGGTTTAAAACTTCTCCTATGGATAATTTGGATCAATTAAGAGACGAGGTCGTTAGCGTACAGTGACCGGACAAACAATGACCAAAGTTGCCACAACTTACTGATGGCAGGAAGAGCAACAATGTTGATAAACATGGTAACAGTAATAATACGAGAAAGAGTACTTTGGTACCCGTTTCGATGGGATGGCTCTTACCATTGGTCCCTCTGGCTAATTCTATCATCTCCTTCCCTTCTCTCTCTCTCTCTCTCTCTCTCTCTCTCTCTCTCTCTCTCTCTCTCTCTCTCTCTCTCTCTCTCTCTCTCTCTCTCTCTCTCTCTCTCTCTCTCTCTCTCTCTCTTTCTCTCTCTCTTTTGGCCTCTACTATTTTCCTCCATCGTTTCTCTCAGTGTCCAACTTTCTGCTTCTGTCTCTGCTCCATCTCCTGCAAACATTTAATATCCTTCTCTCCCCAGCCATTCAACCCTTTATCTCCCCCCTGCCTCCTATTTTTCCCTTCCATTGATTCCCCCTTTCCCCTACTCTTTCTTCCCTAACTCTCTCCCTCCTCCCTCCGTCCCCTCCCTCCCCCATCACCCCTCTCACAACACCCCAACATCAATTATCACCCCTCGGCCACGATGGATTTGAAACGTTGGAATGGGATAGGGAAAATCAGATGGAGAGGGAAGGAAAGGGAAGGAAAGGGACGGGGTGGGATGGGGAGGTGGAAGGGGGAAGGGAGATCAGGTGGAGAGGAAAGGGCTGGAGCTCTCCCTCGTGGTCAAGTGGGTGTGTAGGGTGGGTAAATTGGCAATCAGCTGTCCCCTAGTTCACCTGTGGCACCAACACTCACTCTCTGGGGAGATGGTTCACAGCTTGCCTGGTGTTGACGGGGGTTTTGTGTGTGTGTGTGTGTTGGGTGGTAGTGGTGGTGTCATGCACACACACACACACACACACACACACACACACACACACACTCTCTCTCTCTCTCTCTCTCTCTCAATGTTGGAGTTTTGTCAGGAGCGTTACCACAATTCCTAATGAACCCTTGGCTGAGTTTGAGCGAGAGAGAGAGAAAGAGAGAGAGAGAGAGAGAGAGAGAGAGAGAGAGAGAGAGAGAGAGAGAGAGAGAGAGAGAGAGAGAGAGAGAGAGAGACAGAGAACTGAGAAGGGTGTATAGAAATCGCTAAGCCATGTGCCCGCGTCACTGTCATGTGTGCACCTGTATCACTCTCATGTGTGTTCCTGTGTCACTGTCATGCATTATGTATCATGTATTACTAACCTGTTCGTCACTCTAGGGTAAAGTTCTTCCCCAGCTTTATTCAGCTGTTCATCGCTCAAGGGTAAAAGTTTTGGGTTTACTGACCTGCTCAGAATTCTAAAGGAAACTTTGTGGATGCTTTACTGCAACGTCCAGCAGTCTTGAAGAGAACTCTCCTATGCTTTATTGACTCAGGTTGTTCCGTATTTATTGGTATTTTTATAATTATTGATATTAATTATAATTTATTTATTGTTATTCATTTTATAAATAATTTATATTTTGATAATTTATCATTTTAAAAACAAATTATAATTTTATTAATATAAATCGCAGTTTAAAAATATTTAATACTAAATTTGCTTATTATTTATATTGAAATAATGTTTTTATTTTCATTGTATTGCTGCCATCACATATTTATATATTTTGATATTAGGGTTTTGGGTAACTCCGTAAATATTGCCATGACAGCAATTCTCTTTTACAATGTCGAAACTTTATATAGGCCTATTGTTTTTATTTTCAGGGACTGTTCTTGTTTAATTAAAACCATAAACATGCACCAGGGGGCACGCTAACATTGGGTGTGGAGTATCTTAAAATATATATATATATATATATATATATATATATATATATATATATATATATATATATATATATATATATATATATATATGAGAACAAGCCTGAATGGTCCCCAGGACTATATGCGAATGAAAACTCACACCCCAGAAGTGACTCGAACTTCGTATGTTCGAGTCACTTCTGGGGTGTGAGTTTTCATATATATATATATATATATACAACCCGTTCTCACACTTTCTTACGGTCAATATTGACTTATTAAATACGTGCATATGTGAGATACTAAACATACTAGTTTACCTTGAAAAGCTTCATAGAAAACACCGACCTTACCTAACCTTCTTAGTATGTTAAGATAAGCATCTTATTGCTTCGTAATTACAATTATTACTTAACCTATTATAGTATAGGTTAAGTAATAATTGTAATTACGAAGCAATAAGATGCTTATCTTAACCTATTATAGTATAGGTTAAGTAATAATTGTAATTACGAAGCAATAAGATGCTTATCTTAACATACTAAGAAGGTTAGGTAAGGTCGGTGTTTTCTATGAAGTTTTTCAAGGTAAACTAGTATGTTTAGTATGTCACATATGCACGTATTTAATAAGTCAATATTGACTGTAAGAAAGTGCGAGAACGGGTTGATATATATATATATATATATATATATATATATATATATATATATATATATATATTACCGTGGCTACCACTCAAGCACAGAAAGATTAGGAATACCATGCCCCCAAATCCCAAGAGTGGTAGCCATGGAGATAAGCAATTCTTATCTGGGCAGCGGTTAGTTCCCGTTGCGAACCTTCCCTTTTAAGGTTAACTCATAGTACAGTCTATATATATCTCACATCTATATATACCTCACATCTACCTCACGTGTCAAGGGGACGGATGTTCGAGTCACCTATACCCAAGGTGAATGAAATGTTATATCTACGTTAATGTGGTGTACACACACACACACATTTGGTTAAATATGACTGCAATGTTGGTGTTGATCTGAGAATGTAAGCTTTCTATGCGTCTAACCATTTTCTTAGTATTAGTATCTAGAAGAGCAATCAAGTTAGGAAAATTCATGGTTAAAAAAAAAGATACTAATTATTAAAGGATTCATTTTCTACGACGTTTCATTTCCCAATTGATTTGCAGACGATGTTGAACCGTCGAGCCTTCAGTGACGTGCTCCCAGATCCTCCTAGATCTTCAAGAAGAAAGGAAGAAGCCAGACAGGTCAGTGAATTGTCATTGTGTATCCTAACATGACCCCTTCTTCCCCCTCGTTGATGTTGCTGCTTCCTTCCTCGCCTGCTGTGTCCCAAGTAATCATCCTTAAATTATTGCCTCATTCTCAAGGTGACATCACTTCCTGACCCGTTGCATCTTACCCATCAGGTGATCCTCATCATACTCACCATCCCCATGTTTTGACTGATTGTTGCCGCCCGAGGTGGCTAGTTGATTGTGCAACCCCCACGCTCATCCTGTGAGCGGTAGCGCAAAGAAGATTACAAAGGGCACAAAGGGATTTAATCGGACCTGAGCGGAGATGGCGCCATCTTTCCAGGGGTGGTAATCGAGGCGCAGAGCTCTCTTGGTGTTAGTGGAAACTTGACAGTCGAGGAGCAGGGGTCCCTGGACGTTATTGGAGGCTTGGCCGTCGAGGAGCAGGACTCCCAGGGAGTTAGTTGTTGGAGGCTTATCCTAACGAGCGGTCATTAAAACTCGAGTGATCTATCGGTTTAACCTCTCTCTTGAATAGGATTAATGGGGTCAAGCAGGCTTACGTAGCCGAACTGTAACGGGAGAAGCTTTTTTTGATCATGATAGAGGAAGCTATTTTACTCCTTTTCCCTACACGAGGGACAGCGGCACCAATAAACATAGACCGCTTCTACGGTTATCTTGAGATGATTTCGGGGCTTTAGTGTCCTCGTGGCCCGGTCCTCCACCAGGCCTCCACCCCCAGGAAGCTGCCCATGACAGCTGACTAACTCCCATGTACCTATTTACTGCTAGGTAACAGGGGCATAGGGTGAAAGAAACTCTGCCCATTTGTTTCTCGCCGGCGCCCGGGATCGAACCCGGGACCACAGGATCACAAGCCCAGCGTGCTGTCCGCTCAGCCATCGGCAACAATAAACATAGACAGCTCCTACGGTGAAATAATGAATTCTCAGACGCAGGAAAGAAAAGTCGTTTTAAACTAATACAAAAAATCTAATTATCAAAAGGTATCCCAAGGAAATTATCAGAAGACACAAAGTCGGTATGGCTATATGGCACTTAAGAGGGATGTGAGGATAAGGATTTTAGGATAGGACGGAGGAATAGGAATAGTGCCCAGTCATATGGATGGTCGGGGGCTTGAATGCCATCATCGCTTTACCGTCCAGTTCAAGTGACTGGATCCCAATAACTTAAGCATAAACATGCTTTAAGACACCTCGTATTCAAGGTTCGACTGACCGATAAACAAAAATAATTGTTGACCAGACCACACACTAGAAGGTGAAGGGACGACGACGTTTCGGTCCGTCCTGGACCATTCTCAAGTCGATTGTGAGAATCGACTTCACAATCGACTTGAGAATGGTCCAGGACGGACCGAAACGTCGTCGTCCCTTCACCTTCTAGTGTGTGTGGTCTGATCAATATACTTTAGCCACGTTATTGTGACTCATCGCCTGCAGAAAAATAATCGTCTTAGAGGTCATCAGTTAGCACAAACGCGTCCTTGCATTATATCGAAAAGCTCAAATCTCGAAGCCTCCAACCTCATTACAAGTTTTAAAGATCACTGATTCCCTGATCACGGATCTCAGAGAGGATGCTATTGACAACTTCAACAATTGCAAAAATATCTTGCAACAAAAAAGTATCCTCAGTAATTCTTGAGTTTAAAATGCCTCACTTGTGCAAAACAATATATTGTTGTACGAATTGAAATAAAGAATATTATCATCATTAAGGAATTGAGAGAAAAACTAAAAATGTGTGAGAATTCATGTGTAGGTGTCAACAATAATTCTAGTTAGTCATTTATGTGACCAATAATTCACGCATCTGGATTATAATATAAATTATCTGATTACCCCCCCTATGCTGGGTACTTTCTTTTATCAGTCCCTATATCTGCAACACGCACACGCTATATTACTTGTTACAGACATGGTTACACCCCCGTAGACCTCGCTATATTGCAGTGCCTCAATTCACACTTGGTACAAAGTGTATTTGCAATAAGGTGGAAGGCGCTCAATTTGGCAGGCAAGGTGTTCACAGCTGGAGGCTCCACCGAGGCTCTACATGTGTGGGTTATAGTGCTGGTTGACTTGGAAGTGTGAGAGTTACAACTAATTTTGTTTTTCTGTGCGGTTATTAATAATATTTACACAGCTGTTAGTTTTTCTTATTTATCGTAATTCTCTCATTGTCCATGTTGTGCGTTTCTTCATTCGTCCTTGCCATTTAATTCTTGATTTTCTGCATTATTACCGAGATACGTAAACAGTCAGATATGCTTTAAATAACATAATCTCTCTTTTCATCATATTATTTGGTGTCTGAGTGGAATAAAATATTGTGTTCTCTCTACTGTGCTTACAACAGAGGCAAACACAGATTTCTATGTCATTCTGAAAATTGTCCCGAGAGCAAAACACTGTTGAGGAACAGATGGAATCAAATTATATATGGATTTTATCATTTATAGAAAAAAAACGGCAAATCACTAGTATACAACCTAGTTACGACGCGCGAGAATTTTGCTGTTTTTTTTTTTTGTGTAATCAAAAAATTTAATCGATAATTCAAGCCATTCATTAAAGTCCACTACGGGCTCACCTTAGCCTGTGCTACTTGGAACTTTTTGTTCCCAGTAGATGAATCTTAAACAGCATATTCGACGTGTTGAAGTGGTTGAATACATTGTCCTGCTTGCCGAGGATAAAATGAAAATTCGACCTTTCGGCGTTACTATGCCCGCCTAGCCGTTGCTGTGCCTACACTGGCATCGAAACGGTCTTACCAATTAAGTGCATTCATCACATTCTTAGTAACGCCGGCGGAAATGAAAATCTTCCCGACTAAGGCGAAATTCGGCAAGTTTGGCAATCTTAAGTCCAGTAAACAGAACCCTGCTGCCTTCTTTGTTTTTTGTCTATGTCTTGTGTGTGTGTGTGTGTGTGTGTGTGTGTGTGTGTGTGTGTGTGTGTGTGTGTGTGTGTGTGTGTGTGTGTGTGTGTGCATTTTGATAACTTTCACTCTCTTTATTCTTTCTTTTTCTGTGTCTCCCCGGAATCATTGCCTATATTTCTATATAGTTTTTACACTGACCGTCTCGTTATCTCTCACTTGTTTTCTGTAGCAACTGTCCCTGTTTCTTGGTTTCTTCCATGATTATTTTAGCTCTCTTATCTATATGTTTATTTCACAGTGTCTGTTGTTGCTCCCCCCGCCCCCCCCCCACCCCATTTTGTCTCTCTCTCTCTCTCTCTCTCTCTCTCTCTCTCTCTCTCTCTCTCTCTCTCTCTCCCTCCCTCTCTCAGTATGTGCAGCGGGAGGGAGGAGAAAGTTATTTCCATAACATCAGGTTTCCTCTGGTCTATTTATTGTGTTCCAGACGATTAACAGGGCTCTGGCAAGTGAAATCTGGCGTAGATTAATGTGTTGTATGAGAGGGAGAGGGAGAGCTACACAAATGGAGTGTATACAAAGTATTCTGTATTTTCAGGGAGGGGGGAGGGGGTTGAGATTCAGCTCTTGTGTCCCACCTATCAATTTGTTTTATAGTCAACCGGTGTACATGTAACTAAAAAAAAAAAAACTTCAGGCTCGTTTGTTTAATATATTTACGGGTTTGACACTGAAGAGGCGCATTCTAATATTTCTAGGCCCCCCACCCTCTTTTATGCATTAAGTAGGAATGATTAATGCAGTCCTGCTTTTTTTGTATCCAGGCTTGTCAATACTGCATGAATGTTCGTCAGTATTGCGTATGCCGCTGGTGTTATTCATGTGTCATTCGCCTCGGTTCTGATGTGTACCATGAACTTTTAATCACTTGCAAATATTTTTTTTTTCATTTTTATTTCCTCAGTTAAGTCTTACACATACATCCGTGGCTGTATGGATCTTAGCTCTGTACCTTGCGGTACTCTGCTTGATTCTTTCCTCGGCTATAATCTCCCCTTCTCTCACTATTAATAGTGAAAACAATCAACAGCTACTGTTGATTGTTAGTTTATTGTCCCGTTTTCTTCTCAAATTTGCTTATCTTTCAAATTGTATTTTCATTATTAAAATTTTAAGCTATATGTTGTCAATATAAACATCAAAGTGTCTTAATTGTTAGCTATTAATTTTTTAATATAGTTTTTACTGCAGCCACAACTGAAATGATTTATATAAATCACTTACATGTATAAATAGAAGCTTAATTCGTAAGTAATGAAGAACACTGTCGAAGGCTTTGTGGTTGTCTAGGAAGATGCAGTAAGTTTATCCTTTTCTTTTCAGCTTGATTATTGTTATATTGTGCTCTATGAACTCATATTGTCGCTTTGTTACAAAGTTTGTCCTTTCTAAGATGACCATAAGCGTGATTAATCTGATCCTGATTAATCTTGATCCTGATTAATCCTAATTGATCCTGATTAATCTTGCAATAACCTTGCTGATACAGATCCGTGTATCGTTTATTGCCCTTTTTTCTTATATATAGGCCTGGCACAAGCTCTTGTGTTTTCTCTCTCTATTCTGCCCGATAGGCACTGAAGAGTGTAGAGGGGTTGCTAGACCCTCGTAGCCTTTTCATTTATACATGAGGAGACTTTGCCCATTCTTAGGGATTTTGAGCGTCTAAAACTCTGGATTTGTAAGTTACTCCTGTGCCTCTTCTACTATGCCTGTATATGTTTGAATAATGACAAACTGATCAATCTCTTTTACAAGAGGATTCCAGTCCCATATCTTCCGGGTGAGGTTCTTTCTAGCTTGAAACCTAGAAAGAGTTTCATGTCCTTGAAACTTTGGGTTAGGACGAGGCTTATTTTGGCTATTTTCCGTTTATACCCTCCTCCTCTCCTCCCCCTTCTCTCCTCCTTCGCGCTTGTAGAGTGTCATCTCTTGACCGTTCTCAGACGACTTCTTGGTGTGTGTGTGTGTGTGTGTGTGTGTGTGTGTGTGTGTGTGTGTGTGTGTGTGTGTGTGTGTGTGTGTGTGTGTGTGTGTGTGTGTGTGTTGTAGCTGTCTCTGTTTCTTCACTTGTCTGCTCTCCCGTTCTGCTTTCCTGCCTCGAGACGGTCTGTCTGCCCGTTGAGCCATGGGTTTATGTTGTGATTTACTCACGTATTTCTTCGAGTTGGAATGAATCTGTCGAGCAGTTGAGCCTTCCTGGGCGACAATAACCATCGTATAAAAAAAAAATACATGGACTTTAGTTCCGTCTCCCACTGCACACCTAAGGATTTCCCTATTTTCCCTGCGGTGTTGCTGGACTTCTGTATATTCAGTGGACTCTTTATATATATATGTGTGTTTACTTCACGTACATATTCAGTTGTCTGTGGCCCCCAGTTGAATTTCGTTGCTGAGATCCCCAATATCTACCTTGTCCTGGGTGAAGACGAGGTCTAGCCAGGCTGCGTGGTTGCTTCCTATCTCTCACATTTCGACCTTGTGAATGGTGTATTTTGAAGTTCAATTTCGTGATTCCCAGCGATATTGTTGTCCATCACCCGAGGTCACTGTAGGAGCTACTTGCTCGCAGTCTCTTCTGTGGTTAAAATCTCACATCCCTCCTTCTCCACTTCCTCCTCACAATTATCAGTGAGGAGGAGAAGACTAACTCATTCTTGTTAGCATCTTGTTGGATGTATATCAAAGGTCTGTCAGAAAGTGAGCATGTCAGTCAGCAAATCGGACTGTCAGCGAATGAGTGAACGAGTCATTGTGTTCTTCCAACTGTATTCAACCTTGCAGGTAGACCCCAGGATTTTGTGACTAAATTAATCTTTAAGGTAGAAGTCCTATGATTTGGCACTAATTTTCTTGCAAGCAAATTAACCTCATGTACTCTTCTCGTACTTGCTTAGGATTTCCCGACTCTATTATTTGGTATTTGAAGATATTTTCAGATTTTCACACCTTTTTCCAGGCATAATTCCAAGCATCCACCGACTCTTGTCGGTATCCGCGGTTGGACTGATTTGTTTTGTAATCTTACAGGTGGAGTTCGTGAGGTTCGGGCAGGCCCTGAAGCTGGACACGATCGTGAAGGGGGACGCACCCACCTCCTTGGCCACCACTGGACTCTTCAAGCGCACGGTGAGTCCTGTCGGAGGCGCAGCAGGAGACGGGTATAGAAGATGAGGAGGAAGAGAAGGTGGAGCGGCGAAAGCAACAGTAGAAGTGTCAGTAGTATTACTTTAGGAGAGAGAGAGAGAGAGAGAGAGAGAGAGAGAGAGAGAGAGAGAGAGAGAGAGAGAGAGAGAGAGAGAGAGAGAGAGAGAGAGAGAGAGAGAGAGAGAGAGAGAGAGAGAGAGAGAGAGAGAGAGAGAGAGAGAGAGAATATTAAATAATCATTGAAACAAAGATGAGGCTCTAGTAAAATACAACCAATTCTGTGCCATCAACAAAAACACGATTAATCTTAATGTGACAGTTACTAAACCAGCATTAAATTTTTATTATTATTTGATGTATTGTGTGTAAAATGATGTTAGTTCTATATTTTTCTTATATAATATAAATATATTTTATACAACCTTCGACTCAGTTCAAGTTAGAAGTGTTTGTACTATAACACAGTAAAGGCTGAGGGAGCTTAACCTCACCACACTGGAGGAACCTAACCTCACCACACTGGAGGAACCTAACCTCACCACACTCTAGGAAAGACTCACGAGGCAAGGAACACTAGAGGGAAACCAGAGCCAGGAATCCGCCACAGAGTTGCACAAGCTGCTCCAGTGTTAGAGCTGTCAATAGGCGGAATGGGTTAGAGGTGTCCCCCCCGCCCCAGGATCCCAGGTCACATGCCTCCCCTTGCGGTCCCAGGGTGTCCTCAGAGTATATTCTTTCCCAGTGTAGAGTTCTTTCCCCCCTGACTGACATTCCTCCCCGCTGGCTAAAATCCCTCAACTTAAGATTCAGAATACCAACACGGGGAGCCAAGTTCCTCCCCCTTGGAGAATCAGTGGGTAAGACGAAGAAGTAAGTGGTTAAAGCAAACTCTATACTCTACAAATTTCAACATGTAGGTAGACACGCGTGGAAACTGAATAACTGCACTGAACTTTATAATGTATGGAAGGTGTTGCTGGGAGCTGATACCTGACCATGCGAGCACATCTTGGTAAATACAAATTTGACCAGTACACACACACTTACACTCACACACACACACACACACACACACACACACACACACACACACACACACACACACACACACACACACACACACACACACGAGTCCTGAGCCAACTGGGCTCTATAAAAATGTAGATATGATAGAGCCCAGTAGGCTCAGGAATCTGTACATCAGTTGATTTACAGTTGAGAGACTGGACCATAGAGCCAGAGGTCAACCCCCCGCAAACACAACTAGATGAGTACACAGCTATATTTTTCACTCACGGAAACACTGAATTAAGTCCAACAAATTGCACATAATATTCTGTGATTATACATGACGGTTGATGAGAGCGAATGTATCAATATAACACAGTGATGACCACCACCCGTCATTAATGACCAGTGCTCCATTCTCCATAATTAAAACAACTCGTTAACGTTTTATAATGCTATTATAGCTGGATTTAGAGTTATAAGCTTTGTTAATAATAATAATAATGAAGCATTTTGATACCGGATATTGATTTGACAGTTATTTGATGCATATGTGACGCTTGACAATGTTGTGACTGCAACTACGTGAACATGTCACTCATTATTTTGGAACTAATATTGCTGGTAATGGAGCCATTGTGAATTTTTTTTAAGGGGGTCCGACTTGGACTAGTAAGGTTCCCCGCGTCTGAGTAGGCAGAGTTCTTTCACTGTTTTGTTTAGCTTATCGCTGTATCTTTGTATTTATTAAAAAAAAACACGATATTGACATTTGAATGATTGCTTAATTTATTATTGTTATCTGTCGATTTTTACTCAGATTGCTCAGTACTGAGAAATACTCAACATTTTAAGGTTGGGTGTAAGTTAGGTTGGGTGTGGGTGGTAAGGTAGGGTATCTGTGGTTGTTTCGTTAGCGTAGGTGTGGCGGCTACGTTAGCTTTGATTACCAATGTACAAAACGCATATTACTAATGTTAAATGTATATATCAATGCTTAATACAAAATGATTAAGACACATTTATTAATATAGGTATTCGGCTTATTTGGCAACTTTGCATAGGAAGCACAACATTATTTACTATACAATATATATATATATATATAATGATTTGTGCAGAATAACCACATTTGAATAGTGAAATATTTACTAGAGCGCTTCGAGCCTATCAGGCTTTTGTCAGTAGCAGAGGGGCACACAGAAAGAAAAAGGAACAGTTTTATGGGCCAGTTGAAGGGGAAAGAAGCAGTCATCATGCTCAGTTATGTATTATAGTATCCCCCAGTTGTGCCTATTCATCCACGTGTACACTTCAGTCATGTCACCCCTCCATACTTGGCCGGAGAGTTGGTTACCCTGATACCGAACCCACACATCTGGAAAATGAAGAAACGACTTAATAGAACACAAAAAGCAGTGTTAAGTCTGTAGATATACTCATAAAGCTCTCTTCTGCCCTGTTAGGGACACTAATCATCCTATAGAATTCATGTTGGGACTCTTAATCATCCTAATCGTCCATTAAAATAATTTTTCCAACCTCTACTCTTCACTGTCAGATCGTCTTGTGAGATCGGCTTTAATGCACCACATGTCCAATATGAAGCATAGTCCGGCTTTGGCTGCTGTTGATTCTTTCCTTTCAAAGTATATTTGTAAATGCTGACGTAACCTTCTTAACAAACGTGATCTGACATAGCCTTGCCTCCTCTAGGATATCTTCCCTTTCTGTCTCTTATGTTACTAGATTTTTCTCTTACCCTTTAGGTCTTTTACAGTTTTCTTTTATTTATTTATTTATTTTTACTTTCCTATTTTTTCTAACTTTCTTATTTTAGCTTTTCTATTCGTCTTCCTCCTTTTTCCTTCCCATGCTTCTAACCTTTCCCGATTCTCTTTATTCTGAACTTTTTCTCTTATTTTTACCTTTTGTCATTTTCTTACCTTCACCTTTCTCTTAGAGTCATCTCACCTTTCTCTTACAAATTCAAATTCAAATTCAAAATTCAAATTCAAATGTTTATGGAGGTGAAGTACATACATACAAGGGGTGATACAAATATTGATGAATTTATAGATAGAGCTAGTACATACAATGCCTAAAGCCACTATTACGCAAAGCGTTTCGGGCAGTAAACTCATCTCACCTTTCAAGTCACTCTCTAGCATTACTTGTCCCTTCCACTCTCTACTACATGACTTGATAATGGTCAAGGATGGAGCAAAACATCGCCGTTTCTTCATTTTCAGGTTGTGTGGGATGGGAATGAACTCTTCAGCCCTGTAATTGTGACTTATCATCTGCATACAGTCACCCCCCATACCTTAAACATTTGTGCAATATTAGATATTATAATCTGATGCAGTCAGAACAAACCAGAGCCAACATTTAATGCATCAGGAGGACAGTGACCGATTAAAACTGACTCAATCAAATTTTGCCCCAATGAAACCGTTGCAATGGGCAATGATTTGTTTATGCACTCCAATCTGTGACGTGATAGCAAAAGGCGAACTTGGAGGAACAATGCGAAAGGAAGATTGTTATAACGTCTTAATGAAATATTTATGTTGGAAATGGAATGCATCAAGTTGTTTGCCCATTTGTTCAATTTATATACAATCATAATCCTTGCATGGGATCAAATACACACATCTTGCTGTGGTAGGAGGCACGTTCTTCATTAAAATGGGCTTTACTATATTATTATTTTTGAAGGCAATATTGCCATTAAAAAATCTTGAAACCCCTGAATAAATCGACAAGGGCCGTGATGAGGGTTCGAACCCACGTCCGAGAGGATCCCAGACGCTGCCTTAACCGACTGTGCTACGACATGGTAAAAAGAATTGCAACCGGGAGTTCTTGAAACCTCTTGAAAGAATTGAAACCCCTGCCATATCCGGAATTATTATAACACATAATTGAAAACATTGCCGGTTATTTCCCCATGAACTGGTCTATAAAACTGTTTCTCCTCTCTCCCTTTAGTCACTCTGCTACTGCCGAAGGCCTGATAGGGTCGAAAGCACTCTAGCCAATATTTCACTGCTCAAGTTTTTTTACTGAGCATTTAAATTAATAGATCAGCGATTATTGATCTTTGTTGCATGATTTATATTCTTTAATTTAGACAGTAAAAGAAATCAACTTTCCAAAAATTAATTTTATACTTGCAATAAGCCTCATGCGTGTGCTGAAGGAAGTAGTGTTTCACTAAAGCATACCTAAGCATCTTCGGATCCGGAGGGAAGGTGATTACAGGCTTATTAAATAATACCACCACTACTATTACTCACTGATCAAATTACAAAGTATAATTTGGCCCAGGATATATTTCGTGCTTGTATATATATACATAGAGAAGCCGAATACACCTCTCTGTGCATATATCCTGTATTCTAAATTATTTTGAAATATGCTGCCGTAATTCACTAAATTAAAAAAAAACTTTCAGGACATTTAACCAGTTTTTTTTTAGTAGACAGACTTTTTTTTTAATTTTTTAAATTGTTGGTTTTAACACAATTTTGTTATATGTATTTACTTTAATAATTTGTACCCTCAGTAATAACAATTGTACTCGTTTTCTTTAAAAGACAAATTTAAGGAGTAGCTAAAGAAAAGCCTCAGTACCCATCTGTGTATTATTTGATAAACATCTTTGTAAAATGTTCAGGACTAATTACTTTTATGTGTCCGCCTACTTTTTATATGGAATGCTCGTTGTTTCTTAAACATCCAAAACCTTTTTTCAGATTGTGAGTTCTGAGACATATATTTAGCGATTCTTACTGTGTAAGAACACAGTAGAACCCTATCCTCGTAGTGTTGAGGTGCCTTCCTTTGCACCTGTTCCTTCAGTGTTTAGAAGCTCATGATATACATATGAAACTTGTGAAATGTTTACAAAATCCCACATTATATCAGGTGTTCAAGCAACTTTGCAACAGTGTTTTTTTTTAAATCGCTAATTAGAGTTTGTGTAATGTTTAGAACCCTTCCTTGAAATGTTTGGGACAGTGTCCTTCAATTTTTTTGGAAATGTTTCTCCTCAAAATGTTTAAGCATAATGTGTTTTCTTTATTTTTCCATCTCCCTCTAGCCCCATGTTTAAGGCTTCCTCTTAGTAGAACTCCAATATTTATGTAAATGTTTGAAGAGCTCCACAGCACCGTTAAGCAACCTTCTAACTCTTTGTCTAGTTCTCAAGTTAACTCTATAAAATGGTCTCTCTCTCTCTCTCTTCCCATCCCCCAGCTAACAGAGGGCTCTAATGGTTCCCCTTCCAGTTCCACCACAGCTCTTCACGCAAGGGTATGTCCTCCCCTGCCTGCTATCCCTTGCATCTGTCTGCCTGTCTGTCTAGCTGTTTCTCTCTGTCATTTTCCGTCTCAGAAGGGGCAGACGGTTTCTCCCCTCCCCCCAGCGCCTATAACATCATCGTTCTCAGCTTCAGGGTATGTTTATTTTTTTTCTCTCTCTCTCACCCCATTCCCCGAAATTGCCTGATCTCAGTTTCTGTGTTGATGCTTGTATGCCTGTATGTGTGTGTGTGTGTGTGTGTGTGTGTGTGTGTGTGTATGTGTGTGTGTGTGTGTCTGTACTTTGTTATGTAACGGTTAATTATCGTTTTTTTTTGCTCGCCCCATTTTCGTTTACATTGTTTGTACCTCTTGTGTGTTTCCCCCTCTGTCTGTCTCTCTCTCTCTCTCTCTCTCTCTCTCTCTCTCTCTCTCTCTCTCTCTCTCTGCGTTTGTAAAAGTTAGTCTAGCTCTCCGAACGTGTTTTGTTCGTTTAACTTTCTGTTCGTGTTCTTTGTAATTTCGTTTAGCTTTCTTTTCGTATTCTTTGTAACTTGCTTTATGTACGTGTTCTGTATAGTTGTTTGGCTAGCGCTCCAAAAGTGTTCGTACAGCTCTCCGAACAAGTTCTGAGCCCGTCTGTCTGTAATGTTCGTAACTAAATGTGTCTCTCTCACTGTAAATGTCTCGTTATTGTTGTCGTTCTACTATTGACTTTGTGTAATTTTCAGGCATGTTATTATTTTGTTGTATAACATTGTCTTATATCTGTCGCCAGTTTGACAATGGGTAGGTTAGTATATTTTAATTCCATAGCATCTGTCTTTGCCTCAAGTGTATTGTCTTGTTTGTTCTATCTTCGATTCATCTGTTTATGTGTGTATTCATTTGTTTGTAACATTTATTTTTTTGTTTTTCCTCTTGCGTCCTCTCCAGAACTATCATAACAAAATGTCACTGCCTCGCTTCGAGTCTTTGCTCAGAGCATCTTACATAATCTTTCTTTGCTAATGATTTAATTATAAACGAATTTGCAGTCGCACGTCCAAGTTTGCGGTGTACCTGTGAATTTTCATAGAATGATCATCATCTCAATGTTTTTTTGTTTATGTACATCTACATTTGTGCAGCTGCCCTACACTATATGAAGGGGGGGAGTACAGTGTGTGTCAAGAACTATAGCTACGTGATGCTACAAATCCCCCCCATCACACGGGATGATTAATCATACAGGGCCATGTGTTACGTTGCTGCCCTGACAAACTTTCAGTGTTAAAAGTGTTCCAAGTTTAGGATTAATCTCGACTCTTAGTGGCACACTGATGGTGAGGAACACCGTGATTGTGCTCTAGTGGCGGATGTTGCAATACTCTCACATAGAGCGATATCAACATTTGAACTTTTAACTAAAATTAATAGTTCTCAGTAGCTCACAAAATCTCGTCTTGTTCGTTTTAAACATGTATAGCGCACAGCATGCGATATGTTACAGGACCTATCTCTGCACGGTTACAGGACCTATCTCGGCACGGTTACAGGACCTATCTCGGAACGATTACAGGGCCTATCTCTGCACGGTTCCATGACCTATCTCTGCACGATTACATGACCTATCTCTGCACTGTTCCAGGACCTATCTCTGCACGATTACAGGACCTATCTCTGCACGGTTACAGGACCTATCTCTGCACGGTTACAGGACCTATCTCTGCACGGTTCCAGGACCTATCTCTGCACGGTTACAGGACCTATCTCTGCACGGTTACAGGACCTTTACTGGCACCTTATAATTTACACATGGTAATACCTTCCTGAAGTTGAAACAGAGGTCTCCATTCACCATCTCACACAGTCACATTCAGGCGTTCGGCTCCACCATTGTTGCCTCAGACGGCTGGTCATAGCACGACATAGTTTCGGTGTCTGGGTGTTCACTGAGCCATTTTGCCCAGCAAATTGTGTTGTTTACACTAGTGTGCTTTGACAGTTTGCCTGGCTTGTTTACCATCGTCTTGCTTGCATTTAACGGTAATTTCTTTTATATATATATATATATATATATATATATATAGCTCTGCCTTCATCACCTGTCTGCATTTGCGTGTATCTGAAATGCATATTGTATATATATTGTATAATAAAAGATGATTTAACGTTTCCTCCGGTTGAACGAGGCTGATAACAATAGCTTGATCGCCGGTTATCTTGTCTTCAAGATAACCTTCAGCGTGTTCTGTCCCTTTATGAGGCCGTCACGCTCGGGAGCTCTTCCAGTGGTACTGTCTTTGGCTCTGTACCTCTTGCTTGGAACTTTTGGACAGTACTTTGGAGGGACAGTACTGTCCCTCTCACTGACCCGATCCGTCAAACTGCTATATTTTCTGTTTTTTTTTTCACGTTCCGTATTTAAAACGCTTTCTAACTGGTCCCTCACTTTCTTTTTCATCTTACGTTCACTTAGCGGTTCCTTCCACAGTTCTTCCTTAGTTCGGGAGCCGGTCGGCCGAGCGGACAGCACACTGGACTTGTGATCCTGTGGTCTCGGGTTCGATCCCGGGCGCCGGCGAGAAACAATGGGCAGAGTTTCTTTCACCCTATGCCCCTGTTACCTAGCAGTAAAATAGGTACCTGGGTGTTAGTCAGCTGTCACGGGCTGCTTACTGGGGGTGGAGGCCTGGTCGAGGACCGGGCCGCGGGGACACTAAAGCCCCGAAATCATCTCAAGATAACTTCAAGATATGGTTCCGCCCTCTATTACTTCCTCAAGGCCTCCCTTCTGACTCCAACACCACCCTCACACACAGAGATCACACTAACGTGATGCCTCAAATGAACAAATCCACAAGGGCCGTGACGAGGATTCGAACCTGCGTCCGGGAGCATCCTCGTCACGGCCCTTGTGGATTTGTTCAACACCACCCTCCTCCTCCTCCTCCTCCTTCCTCTCACCACCTTGCCTCACACCTCACTCCTCTTCCTATGTTCCTGTCTCTCATGGCTGTTCCCTCACCCATCCACTCCTCTTTCCACACCGCTCTGACGTGTCAGAATTTGCAATATGGCGAAGTTTAATGGGCAATAATTCCACGCCATTGGGTGCAAACCGTAGGCCATATTTCTGGGAATTAGAAACACATAAGAGAATAAGAGCCGCCTTCCATCTTGCGATCACTCTCACTTTATAGATCCATAACAGTCATATCAACGCTAATCGCAGAGTGACGCAAAGAGACTCACATTCGTCCAGGCCAATGGAGAACAGATAGATAATGTCATCTGGCTCGACCAAGCTCACCGTGGGGAATTTATATTTTTGTTGGGGAGTGTGTGAGTGAGTAAGGTTTACTCACATGAGTTTCACCGTGAAATAATATATATATATATATATATATATATATATATATATATATATATATATATATATATATATATATATATATATATATATATATATATATATATATATATATATATATATATATATATATATATATATATATTATATATATATATATTATATATATATATATATATATATATATATATATATATATATATATATATATATATAAAACAATGATCACAAAAACACTGATCCATGTATGCGGAAAAAACTACATGTGAAGAATTAAAGAATGCTGAACGCGTTTTCGGCTCAATTCGCCTTCATCAGAGCTAGACAGAGAGTATGACTATCTTGCATGACTCTTGCTCTAATGAAGAGCAAGAAGCATGCTCTGATGAAAGGGAATCGAGCCGAAAATGCGTTCAGCATTCTCTAATTCTTCACATGTGTTTTTTTTCCGCATACTTGGATCAGTGTTTTGTGATCGTTGTTGCATACAATATTCTGTTAATACGAGAACAAATATTATTATATAAATATAAAGCGAAACAGGATGATGAAGCTAAAACAGAGCATAAAAACTGAGTATAATATGAAGCCAACTGGGAAAAAAAGCTAGCTAATGTTTTGGAGCGCCTACTGGCAGGGATTAAATACAGCGGCACCAGACTGCCCGCTTTCCCTTGACTTGGCCTGCCCCAACCCCCGCTTCTCCCCCCATACTTCCACAACAATAGCGCCATTCTTTGGCAAAGGAACCGTCTTAAAAGTGACTTTGCGAGTCATAAAACAAACTGATTGAAGTATTGTAACTCTCTTCGACGAAGCCGAGAGGCCATCGCCAGAGCGCGGATTGGGAATAGATGATTCGGAAACTAACTCTTCATGGAGTTTGTGGGAGTGGACAGCGCTTCGAATTCGTGGTCCTGAGGTTTCGGGTTCGATCCCCGTTGGAGGCCGAAACAAGTAGGCAGAGTTTCTTTCATCCTGATGCACCTGTTCACATAGCAGTAAATAGGTACCAGGGAGTTAAGACAGCTGCTACGGGCTGCTTCCTGGGGGGTATGTAACAAAAAGGAGGCCTGGACGAAGACCGGGCCGCGGGGACGCTAAGCCCCGAAATCATCTCAAGATAAGGCAACACGAATAACTAATCTTATGTATTAGTATTATGATCAGTATTGATCAGTATCAGTTGATCAACTATTGATAGTTGATCAGTATTATGAAAATACAATCCTTTAGAAAAATTCATGCCACAACTAAATTATATCCGAATATAAAATAGCATTAAAAAAAAATATTCTAAATACCATATGCATAGTGAAAATTTTCCTTTTCTTTTCGGGAAGATGCTCAAGAAACTTATGAAAAAAGTGGGAAAAAATAGAAATGGAAATAGTATTTCGATGTTAATCAAAATTTTAAGGAAATAGGAAACCAAATACAAAAAAATGGGTTTGCTAACTTTGCCTCCTAAACCCTCTCCTGAGCCTTGTATACACACACACACCTTGAGGAACTTTCTTGGTCCCTATTCCCACCTCTTAATGAAAAGATGTTCTGCTTTGTTTAGTGAAATTCCTTATAATTTTAATAGCAATTTTTGGCGTCTTTAATTTTGGATAACGCTGAGGTTATTTTCTAAAATCATTGTTGTCACTCCTTTTGACAATTTGCAATACTTGTATTATTTCTACTATTAACGTTTGGCTTGCAAGGCTGAACAAATTGAACTATTTTTTTATTGGGTCTCGTCTTCATCTTAATTGGGTGTAATATTTAACACTCGGCGAGGTGTACCCTTAAATCTTCATCGTACATCTTCATATTATATATATATATATTATATATATATATATATATATATATATATATATATATATATATATATATATATATATAGGGAAGGGAGTACCACCTCTGGCTGGAAGAAGGGGGACCCATAGCCTCGGAGGAAACCACACATAACGCATTGGAGGGAATGTATATTCCCTCCAATACAGTTTCTGTGTGCTTTTCTCCTACCACCCCCTTCCCTTTTTTTTCCTTTATTGTGTATTTAAAGGTTACAAAACATACAAGACAAATGCCTAAAGGTTATGGATCTCTTGAAGCTCCTCCGCTTCTGGACAGGAACCGAGGACGCAGCAAGCATTTCCCCTCTGGATCGCCACACTGAGACGCTGAAATAAAAAACTGGAAGCTCTTGGGTCTCTGGTGACGTCAATGAGCTTGGACCCCAATTCCTTGAGAAATCCCAAGGCACTCTTGCCCCAGGGGCCATGCGTCTCAGACGCTATGGGAACAAAGAGGTATTGACCTTCCAGTCGCCTGTACTTGAGTGATTTTGCTGTTTCCCTGTGGTTGGCCGCCCCACCTGCTTGATCAGCTCCGAAGTGTACATAGGTGTCAGCCAGGGTGGATACACATGTGTAGTCCCACACCAACTGTCTACCCTCCTTCCATGAGTATATGGTGATGCCATCAGGGCGAAGTGCTGGGAAATCCGGGTTTTGGACCCCTAGGATGCGAGGTTCTCTCTCCGCTGGGCACCTAGCTGAGACGAGGCTTCTCTTGATGATGTCACTGACCTCGTTGTGTCTTGCATGCCAGCCCTTTATGCTTCCGCAATGCAACCCATGCAGTCCGTATTGGTCTGCTTCCACCCTGTTGCAAATACACTTGTATTCAGTGTATATATATATATATATATATATATATATATATATATATATATATATATATATATATATATATATATATATATATATTTATTTTTTCTGTGACCATTTTACCCTTTATTTGTTCTTTTATCAGGCAGTAAGCACATCCACATTAACATATATGTCATCCACACACACACCTGGCCGTCTCCATCCACATTCCCCACACCTTCAACACACACACACACACACACACACACACACACACACACACACACACCTCGCCTCCACATACCCACATTTGGGTGTGCAGGTTTCTCTTCTCGCGAACCTGCAGGGAGCAGCCGCCCGGGTTCAATTTCCACGCGGAACGGTGTTGAAGGGGCTTTGTTGTCTCGACTTGCCTCAGGCGGGATGCAGGTATCATCTATGTTTCTGCAATAATTACAGGTAAAAGCCCCCTCCCCCCATCTCCCAACCACCCCCACCCTATACTCTTCCCCCATAACCCCCTCACCCTACCTACAACCACCCCCCCCCCCACCCTCACCCCAAAATAACATTAAACCTTCCGGTATCTATTTTCTGTTGCAGCCATGGGAGCCTCAGTGCTGTTATCCGGATTTCCCCTTCGAGGTGGTGTGTGGAGACTCTTGGGGGGAGAACCGCCTGCTTTTGGCCACCATTGAGGGAGTCTTCCTCGTCGAGGGTGAGCATTCCTTGGACAACTCTTGACTGTTGGGGTAAGGAGGAAAGTATCCTGGCGATCCACGTGGTGTCAGAGGTCGATGGTAAGGTCACGTGGTTGTTCGGGGTCAAGGAGTCAGGGTTTCATATGCTTTAAAATTGTAGTGAGGTCAAGATTGAGCATCGTTGGAGAATCCTTGTTTTCTTCAGAGGACGAGGTTGAGAGCTGCTGGCGCTCAAGCGTTGCTGGGAAAAAAGTGACTCACCTTTGTGCAAATTTCAAGCTTCCAATAAAATATTCAGAATTTCTTGAAAAAAACTTAAAAATCATAAACTCTATTGAACAAGAAAAGCTTTAGCTTTGAATGAATAGACAAATTTAAAGCGCAAGATAAAAAAAAATACCCACAATAGGTAAGGAATGGAACCAGAAACAGGCAGAATAAGACGAATATAAAAAGATTAAAATAAACAAAAAAAAGAAGAGCAAGAATGATGCACATAGAAAAAAAAGATCATTAAAAAAAACATCGACTGATGTGCAAATTCAAATGACATCATAACAAACCAACAGACAAGCTGTTCATATATATATAGCATAGCTGTATAGCTGTTTCTATAGACAGCTATAGAAGCAGCCTGTCAACTGACTCGGATGGAGAGGTAATTACTGTGTCTACAGGTGAGATACCTGAACAGATGACTATAGCGACTCCGGCAAGCAAGATGAGAGCTTTCCCTTCTCACATGGTAAGTCTTAGTCTTCGAGTTGCCCTGGAAGACGACTCGTCAAACCCTTAACCACTAGGATGGACAAGCTTGAACAATTAAGTTTCTCTATGGAACAGGGATTCCTTAGAGACATGGATACATCCTCCCTGATCAAGGACTCGAATCCACACCAATTCACAGGTGACAGGTGTTTCTTATCGTTCATTTCAAGACTGACTGTATTTCGTTGCTGCCCGTTCGTAAGACAGGTGTTTGGTCACTACGAGTTCATGAGAGACGTGGGTTTCCGTCCCTGACAGTTTAATAAAGACTGATGTTCCATCCTTCTCATATAGTTTTTGTATGCAAATCTGTCCACCATTCGTGAAGTCAACTGACCATATTTATCTAACAACAAATAATACCTATAATAATAATAATACAAATAAATAATAAAATCTGAGGAGTTTCAAAGGCCAGGCTACAAACTAGCTGATGCAGGATAACAGGTCCTAGTTCATATCAACCATTAAGGGACTTCAATTATATTTCTATCGAGCTCTACTCTTAATTAAAGACAGAGATAAAACACAGTTAATATATATTATATATATATATATATATATATATATATATATATATATATATATATATATATATATATATATATATATATATATATATTTATATATATATGACAATGTCAGACCACGGAGGAAAAATGAAACAGGAAATTTCCTTAAGTACTTTCGTATATTAAATACATCTTCACCTTCTGAAGATGTATTTAATATACGAAAGTACTTAAGGAAATTTCCTGTTTCATTTTTCCTCCGTGGTCTGACATTGTCACATTCTTAATCACGTGTTTATTTTCGTGATATACATATATATATACATATATATATATATATATATATATATATATATATATATATATATATATATATATATATATATATGTATATATATATATATATATATATATATATATATATATATATATATATATATATATATATATATATATATATATATATATATATATATAAGAACGCAATGAAACATTGACCAAACACTCTCCCAAACATAAACAAGATGACCTTTCGCCAATCAGATTACGGCACGGTCAAGACCCCCCCAAAAAAATACAGATTTGGGGGGATTTTAAAGCCTTCGGGAGTAACTGGGAGTTAGCGGTGATGTTTTTGTTTTGAGGGGAGGGGAAAGAACGAGAGAGAGAGAGAGAGAGTGGAAGGATGGAGGGGAAGACAGAGGAAGGAGGGAAGGGCGCAGAGAGGGATAAGTGAACAAGGAAATTGGTGGAGGTTAAACAATAGATGAAGATATGAGGGGAAGATATCTGGGTGAAATTAAAGATAAAAAAGAGAATTTTAAATTAAGAGAAATGGAAAGATTAAAATGTAAAGGGAACTTGAAGAGAAAGTGGTGAGCAATGAATGCCACTGGAAAAAGATTAGGAGGCGCAGGTGAAGGAAAAAATGGAGCAGAAAAAGGTTCCAAATTAACAAATTTCTAGGCAACAAACAACACATGAATCTGATGACTTGCTCAATACTAGAAAACGAACAGGACAAAACAAGCCAATTTAAAGATTATAATAAAACAAAAACTAATTCCCCCCATTTGTTTTCCTCTGCACTAAAGTCAATTCCTCCCCCCCTCCCTCCTTCTGAAGCCAGGGAAGTTGATGCCCTATTTGATAGCTCCACCACTGAAGCAAATTCCCTCCCAACAGAGGGTGTTGCGCACCGGCTGATCTTCGACAAGAGTGTGCAAGTCAAACAGCTAAGCGTCGTCGAGGCCCACGGGATTCTTCTCCTGAGAGCTGATAAAGGTATTCGATCCTCATGTTTAAGGTGTTAAGACAGTGTTTTTAAAGTAGTATTTCGATATGTATTGCATGTCTTTATATAATGCATGTTTTAGCTTTATATATATATATATATATATATATATATATATATATATATTATATATATATATTTATATTTATTTATTTATTTATGCTCGATGTTCCCTTCGGGAATCTTAATTTTAAGATGAATAGGAAAACCAGAGATATACTGAACATCTTGTTTCAGATTTTTTACTTTAAAATGCATAACGTTTCGAATACTTCTCGTATTCATCATCAGATCTAAAAGAAAAAACAGAAATCACAATCAAATAACTGGTAAACAAAGAACTCATAATGAATATAACTGCCTATCAAAGAAAGGAAAAAGATTAAAAAACAAAACACTTAAGCTTCCTTAAAGTGATCAATGCAAATAAAACTTATTAACTATCACATAGATAAAAGCTAATTCATTTCCTCTTGTAATGCATTAAAGGTATCAGCTCCACTACATGGTCCATTCTGTACCTGTATTACACCCATGTATAATGTCTGGTGTTAAACAATATATTCCATCTAAAATAATCAGCAATAAATTATGAACATTAAACTCACTAACAACACAACCCGGGATCCAACTACTAATTGTGTAAACATAATAACAATGAGAACTCTTACCTCAACAGCCTTTTGTCGACTAACAAAATTCAACAAAATAAACAATTCACTGAAATCACTTATTGGCACAATAGACATACAATATATCAACAGAAGCAGGTTGTAGTATTCTCACTCTAAATCATGGTATCTTATCTTGAGATTATTTCGGGGCTTTTTAGTGTCCCCGCGGCTCGGTCCTCGACCAGGCCTCCACCCCCAGGAAGCAGCCCGTGACAGCTGACTAACACCCAGGTATCTATTTTACTGCTAGGTAACAGGGGCATAGGGTGAAAGAAACGCTGCCCATTGTTTCTCGCCGGCGCCTGGGATCGAACCCAGGACCACAGGATCACAAGTCCAGCGTGCTGTCCGCTCGGCCGACCGGTAGCACAGATCGGTAAAATTTACTATTTACTTTTTGTCCATCATCATATATTTACCCTCTATATTCCTCCGCTTCAAGCAGATGGTCGCCTCATGCTTCGCTACTCTGAAAACAGAGATGTTTACTTCGCCGTTTATATTGGTTCCTATTCTATACAAATTCCTCGCTTGCCTGGATGATGGTGCTCACAAGTCACCATCACCTAGCTGGTGTGAGTGCTCAGCACGACCTCCTGCAAGGTCGTCCACCGGAGACGACCACCACTCACCTCTCTGGCTGAAATTTATGTCATTGTCCTCTGCGCGTTCTGGACGTCAGTGTGCAAAATTGTCTGCCACTTTGACCTGTTGACTCGTGTCCAACTTCCTTCCGTTTTCATGTCAGAACCAGACAGGTACTAGACGGGTTTCCTACTGGGGAGACAATAACTTTTGCATCGATGCCTCCTCCATCGCGGACGACAGTTTTCATTTCGATCTTACGAAATCACGAGTCTCATTTGCAGAGAGACTCTCTTCTTTCTTTACACACACACAGTCGGACTGTAGCTCTTGGTGCCGATCTCCGGTGACTATACTTCTGATGGCTGATCACCGCTGACGTGACCAGTTGTCTCGTGGAGAGACAGTCGGCCGTCTTACCAGGAATCTTGTAGACTTCTTAGTCAAGACATTCTCCAAAACTGCTGTGTTGAGGTCGGTAGTCTGTGGTCTATGTAGGCTCATGATGTTGCTTCTCAACAGCGTGATGCTGTGTTGCGACGTTCGCTTGTGTTGTTTACCTTCGTGGTTATGTCTTGCACGTTCTTGTCTCAGTACGTCCCTGGTAGTGTGTGGGTTTTGTTAGGTCGACTTTCCAGCGCGTTGCCTCGCCTTCAGACCAGCCGAGAGCCATAAACAAACTCTCCTGCACTTTTTTTCCTGGAATTTTAAGCGATGGAACGTGAAGATTTTCCCATGGCCTTCTGAACCGTGGCTGGGATTTCCGGGCTCGTTGGAGGGGATTTCTACACGTGATTTTGTTTGTATTGGTGAAAGGGATTTCTAGTCCTGTGGAATATTGATCTAGATTTTTTTTTAAACGCATGCTAGGGATTTAGAGATTGCGATAAGAGATTTGTGCAATTGTTATCGTTTCTTATTCAACCTGTTCTTCCTCCCTCCCCCCCCCCGGATTTGTGAGGGTACTAAGATTGGTTTGGTGATATTCTTCATACATAATAATGATGAAAATTATGATGCTAGTCATTGTAATGGTGACGTTGATGACAATGATGAAGTTTATAGTGAATCAATGACGATGGTGATGATGATGCCTATGAGGATGGTGATGATGACAGTGATGATTATGGTGAAAACGATGTTATTATAGGGATAATCACCATAGTTATGGTGATCGTGGTAATGATGGTGACATGACACTGTTGTTGAATATTATATTAACGATGACAGTGATGGTGATATTGAAGGTGTTGAAAATATTTTCGTTTATATAATGAAGTGAAAAGCAATAGGTTGAGGATTCAATACCAGTTTTTTGAACTTATAGCTTTAGTTTCCAGTTCCACTAGTTTGTATATAGTTATGCTTTCTACAGTGTGTGTGTGTGTGTGTGTGTGTGTGTGTGTGTGTGTGTGTGTGTGTGTGTGTGTGTGTGTGTGTGTGTGTGTGTGTGTGTGCCCGCGCGCGTGTGCGCTCCACCAATGGAAAACATCCCAACCTGACCCCATAGTCCTCTCCCACTCAAATAAAATAATACTCCCCCAGAGTACTCGCGATCCCGTTTGGCTCCCCAACACCCACATTGCTCCCCCTCACCCCCACACACATACTTCCCTCTTCCCCACTCCCTTATTCACACGTGTACTGTTATAACGCGGCGAGAAGAGAAACGACCGAGTGATCCACGTGGCGTTTATTTACAAACAGACAATGACGGCACCAGGTTATAAGTTACATGACTTAGTATTTACAATGCTTATAAAACAAAAGAGCATCTGCTTGAAACATTATGCACCTAAGTATTACTTTACCCTACAAAATACCTTATTCTTAACACGTACTAACACCTAGCCAACAATCTTTATTTGCTCTGAGCCTCACAATAAAAAGTCCAGCATCCACAATCCTCCTTTGTCGGCCATCATGACTATGTTTCCCCTCGCCTACAGGACGTGACGGCAAGATTCACGTGTTCCGCTTATCTGACTTTGAGGGTGACGAGGAGCGGGTCAAGGTGAAGGTGGACCTCAAGGATCACCGCCTCGAGAGAACGAAAGGATGCCACCTCTACGCCATCTCCAGACCAGGAGGATCACACCTCAGAACGGTATATAAACACATACATACACCATATATCTATATATATATATTAATCCACCTAGAATAAATCTATATTTGCATCATTCTGTTTGTTCCATATTTTTACATAAGCTTAGTTTATGGAGAAATAGTCATGTTTCAATGATACACACACACACACACACACACACACACACACACACACACACACACACACACACACACACACACACACACACACACACACACACACACGTCATGTTTGTCCATCATTTTGTGTCCCTAAATAACTTCTAACCAAAACAAAATCATTGTATCCCGAGAAATCTACATTTCATTGCATAATATATTCTCAACCTTGTGTCTACCGTGAGATGGTTCCGGGGATCAATATCCCCCGCGGCCCGTGTAATCCCCTCTCTACAAGTGTCGCATGTATCCTATAAGTTCGAGGCTTTTTGCCCTGGTCTGACACCACTTGACACTGCAGGTGGTGGCAGTGGGCCGGAAGCTGCTCATTCTCCAGTGGCGCCACTCGGCGGCCTGGACGGCCTGGTGTCCCGCCTCCGACACCGACACTGTCGACGGATTCCAGTTTATTAGGGTGAGTACCAGACCTCAGTGCCAGGCCCCGTCCGAGGGTCACTTGAGTGTGACCTCCTGGGATGTGGCCAGTGCCAGAAATCCCGACAGTGTAAGAGTGATGCTATTATCTAAATTATTCCCTCAATATATTCGTGGTTCTCCACATATGTGTCATCAAGTAAAATGTGTTTGTTTACATCGCCTGCGGAATCATCGTAAGTGTGTACACACGTTATCATGTTCTTAGGTTTCACACACCTGTGCGGCGGACGTCGCAAATCCAGGTTCACGTGACGAAACGTCTCTCTTAGTTACGGAACGTGTCTGCTAGTTACGGACCGTCTCTCTTAGTTACGGAACGTGTCTGCTAGTTACGGGACGTCTCTCTTAGTTACGGAACGTGTCTGCTAGTTACGGACCGTCTCTCTTAGTTACGGAACGTGTCTGCTAGTTACGGACCGTCTCACTTAGCTACGGAACGTGTCTGCTAGTTACGGACCGTCTCACTTAGTTACGGAACGTGTCTGCTAGTTACGGACCGTCTCTCTTAGTTACGGAACGTGTCTGCTAGTTACGGACCGTCTCACTTAGTTACGGAACGTGTCTGCTAGTTACGGACCGTCTCTCTTAGTTACGGAACGTGTCTGCTAGTTACGGACCGTCTCACTTAGTTACGGAACGTGTCTGCTAGTTACAGGACGTCTCTCTTAGTTACGGAACGTGTCTGCTAGTTACGGACCGTCTCACTTAGTTACGGAACGTGTCTGCTAGTTACGGACCGTCTCACTTAGCTACGGAACGTGTCTGCTAGTTACGGACCGTCTCACTTAGTTACGGAACGTGTTTGCTAGTTACGGACCGTCTCACTTAGCTACGGAACGTGTCTGCTAGTTACGGACCGTCTCTCTTAGTTACGGAACGTGTCTGCTAGTTACGGACCGTCTCACTTAGCTACGGAACGTGTCTGCTAGTTACGGACCGTCTCTCTTAGTTACGGAACGTGTCTGCTAGTTACGGACCGTCTCACTTAGCTACGGAACGTGTCTGCTAGTTACGGACCGTCTCACTTAGTTACGGAACGTGTCTGCTAGTTACGGACCGTCTCTCTTAGTTACGGAACGTGTCTGCTAGTTACGGACCGTCTCACTTAGTTACGGAACGTGTCTGCTAGTTACGGACCGTCTCTCTTAGTTACGGAACGTGTCTGCTAGTTACGGACCGTCTCACTTAGTTACGGAACGTGTCTGCTAGTTACAGGACGTCTCTCTTAGTTACGGAACGTGTCTGCTAGTTACGGACCGTCTCACTTAGTTACGGAACGTGTCTGCTAGTTACGGACCGTCTCACTTAGCTACGGAACGTGTCTGCTAGTTACGGACCGTCTCACTTAGTTACGGAACGTGTCTGCTAGTTACGGACCGTCTCACTTAGTTACGGAACGTGTCTGCTAGTTACGGACCGTCTCACTTAGTTACGGAACGTGTCTGCTAGTTACGGACCGTCTCACTTAGTTACGGAACGTGTCTGCTAGTTACGGACCGTCTCACTTAGTTACGGAACGTGTCTGCTAGTTACGGACCGTCTCACTTAGTTACGGAACGTGTCTGCTAGTTACGGACCGTCTCACTTAGTTACGGAACGTGTCTGCTAGTTACGGACCGTCTCACTTAGCTACGGAACGTGTCTGCTAGTTACGGACCGTCTCACTTAGTTACGGAACGTGTCTGCTAGTTACGGACCGTCTCACTTAGTTACGGAACGTGTCTGCTAGTTACGGACCGTCTCACTTAGCTACGGAACGTGTCTGCTAGTTACGGACCGTCTCTCTTAGCTACGGAACGTGTCTGCTAGTTACGGAACGTGTCTGCTAGTTACGGAAGGTGTGTATTTCCACAGGAGGTGTCGGTGTGCGAGGCTCCCAGCATCATCACCCTGGTCGACTCCCCTCTCGTGTCTTCGGCTGGCGGCCTCACCGATAACAAGATCTGTATTGGTAAGTCGGTCTACCTGCCACTCTTATTCCCTCCTTTGTTGCTCTCTCTCTCTCTCTCTCTCTCTCTCCATAATCCCACTCTTTACTCCTTGCACCTCTTCTCGTGTCCTTAGTTGTTTTTTTCTTCGTTGTTGTAAGCTTCGAGCATTATTTTCCCTTTCATCATTCTCCTATCTCTTCCTTTGATTTGCCTTATTCCTGCCTTCTCTTTCATTTTCCATACTTATTCCCCTTTTTCTCTTTCGCCTTATCCCTTCCCCTATTTTATTATTGCTTTATGTTGTCTCTTGCTTGAAGCCTTATTTTGTTAATTTCTTTCTTCTCTTTTCTCCCGTCTCCTCCTATCATTTTTTTTAAGCTCCCCGTGTAGTTTAACATTTTCTTAGACAATAAATTTGTTATTAAGTTTACAGTATAAAGTATTTGTAAAGTATACTTATAAAGTATAAACAATTAAGTATACGGAGATTCTATATTTTAAGGCAGTTATAACTTGCCCTTACAGACTGTAATTCAGAGCCTCTTTCCTCCTTTTCTTGAATTCGTTTCGGTCTGGGGCCTCGGATCTGGGAAGACTGTAGTGACACGATTCCCAGATTTAAGAAACTTATCGAAGCTCATTTTTGCCCGGAAACAACTTACGTTATCACATCGTTCTCATTGGCGTTTTAAACTTGTCGGATATAACAATAATTTAATTCAAACTCAAAACCTGTATTCATAAATGTCAGCAGATTTATAATTGGAAACGTTTACATAAAAGGTACAGTTTACTAATTATTTAACTCACAATAACAAAATAGCAAGTAAGATATCGTCATTATCAGGATCAGAAAATTTAGTTGGTAACTTACACAAATCATTTCTCTGTTGGTTAGAATAAGCAGGAGTATTATCAAGCTAAATAATAATAATTCATTGTATCGGGGGACAGGCAGCCAGTGCATTCATACACGTTAGTCTTATATCGAGGTCCCTATATTTATATCTTCGTGAAACAAGGTTGAATTAACTACAAGTCTCAGAAGACCCAATAAAAATTAATATGACCTGTGTTATGCACAAGTTCCTTCGAAACATGAATAAACTCGTGTATAACCAGTAATGACCTGATATAAATTTAACAGAACAACGACGCTTTCCATGAAGCTACGTAATTTTGAATGACCAGAAAGTACGTGTATGAATTCTGTAACCTCACATGATCCAAAGAGTGGATTAACCCCCTTTTTGATCACATGTTCCAGAAGTGGCAACCTTTCGAAGCGAGTAACTTTGCAATCCCCAACTTGTAGTCCTGTAAATCGTTTCTTCGTCAGGTTACAAGCACCAGTGGGACCTGGTCAGCGAGAGGACGGGCGAAGTCACCAAGCTACACCACGTCGAGGCCTCCAAGGTGAACCTCGTGGCCGCACTTGACATTTACGAAGACGACGAAGCCGAGCTCCTCCTGTGCTACAACAGTGAGTTTTGACGGTGTTCGATGCCAGTAACTAGCAAATAATCGAGGCAACAGGAGCCGTTCTCTAGGCAAGAACAATTTTCCATCGGCAGAAGATTTAGATGTTCTCGAGGTGACAATAGACGTCTTCGATGTTACTGTGGTCGGTTGATGAGGTTGTCTTTGGTCAAGTCGTTGGTTATTTTGAGGTAGCAGTTGGTTGTTTTTGTTGTAGTTGTTGTCATTCTTTATATATATTTGTATTCAAATTCCTGGATACTGAGGTGGTCGTCCTCGAAATATTACTAACTAGTGTTGGCAATCCTCAATGTTCTTAAGCGCAGAGAACGACGAAGGATTGGGTGAGGCATGTTGACCAGACCACACACTAGGTGAAGAGATGACGACGTTTCGGTCCGTCCTAGACCATCCTCAAGTCAAGTGAATCGACTTGAGAATGGTCCAGGACGGACCGAAACGTCGTCGTCCCTTCACCTCCTAGTGTGTGGTCTGGTCAACATACTTTAGCCACGTTATTGTGACTCCTCGCCTGCATTGGGTGAGGCGATTGCTGCCGAACTCCCGCTCTGATATAGTCGTCTTCCGGGTCTATTACCATCCCTCTGGATCAGTAGAGAGCCATCAAACAATTGTATGCTCGAAGTCGACTTTACTTGAATGTTGATTACTGGTATCAGCTCTCGAATGAACAGTGACAAATACAGTATTCGGGGCCCTCCTTAGATCGTTGGTGCGTGTGATCGTTGTCGCGTCCTTCACTATATATCCTCGCGATTCAGATTGGTATTGTTCGCCAGGCGACTTGCCCAATGTTCCATGCGGTGTTGCACGGTAGTTCCTGAGAAAAGCATACATAGCTTGTTTTCAGGATCGTCCTTCGGCCTGAGCACAGCGTACCGCTTTCATGAGAGGTTTGGGTGTTGAGAGTCATTATTATCTCCTTGCAAACGAAGTGAAAGACGTCAATTTATAGTATTCGTGGTGTGTCCAGTAGAGATTATACAGTCTCCAGAATTGCACTTGTATGTATATACTACTTTAGTACACTTCAGTTTGTCAGAGGCAGAAATGTTTTTTTCCTCATAATGAGGGACGCTGTACGAGAGTTGTTATAGTCGTGTTATGTGTTATAGTCGTATATAGTGTTATAGTCGTATATAGTGTTATATATAAGACGAATAATTGAGTTTTCTCTGCTTGGTATACCGTTCCAGTCAATTATATCTCGTATCCATGCACTAATGACGCTGTTTTTATATCTGTGTGTGTACTCACCTAGGTGTGATTGCGGGGGTTACGCTCTGGCTCTTTGGTCCTGCCTCTCAACTATCAATCAATTGATGTACAAATACCTGAGCCTACTGGGCTCTATCATATCTACATTTGAAATTGTGTATGGCGTCAGCCTCCACCACATCACTGTCTAATGCATTCCACCTGTTAACTACTCTGACACTGAAAAAGTTCTTTCTAACGTCCCTGTGGCTCATTTGGGTACTCAGTCTGCACCTGTGTCCCCTTATTCGCGTACCACCCCTGTTAAACAGTTTATATACTAATATATATATATATATATATATATATATATATATATATATATATATATATATATATATATATATATATATATATATATACACGTGTGATAATACATGTTTAGTTATACATGTGTGTGTATATTATATACCTAATAGGCCAAGTTGCCTAACAAGCAGATTTTTTTTTTAATTATATATTTTTTACAGATCTTATGCAACAATAAAGCTTTCCATTACATTATATATGATTTGAATTTTTTTAATTTGAGTTAAAACTAACATAACAATTTGATCAGACCTAAGTCAATAATCCATGTCCTTTATATAATGTAATAACATCATTTGGAATAAAACAATTTGAAAAGAAATATTTGAAATTAACTAAAATCACTCTGCCTGTTAGACAAACTGTGCCTTGCACACTACACCAAGTAGTGATATTCTGGCTATCAGGTTCATAATTATAAATACAATAACAGAACACAAGTACTTTATAATATTTTATATCGATCATATATTAGGATTTCTTAGTTTCTCCGTACCATTATCATATTAGAATTCATAATAAGTGACTGTCTCTTTACCACTCCATTCTTTATCCCAAATTCAACAGTATCGAAATTCTGTTCACTAATATTTCTTCCGTTTCGTTCTTCGACAGACACTTGCCATTTCCAGAAACTAACAGAGGACTGTTCTAATGAGTTCGACTTCCAGTGGAACTCTGTACCAGAAGCCATTGGTGAGTGGTTCCTCCGAGGTTGTAACGCTGGAGAGTACTGATGGTCCTCTTACCCTCCTTGCCGCTACCATATATATATATATATATAGCTAACCACCTTATCGTGGATAAAATTTCATACGCCTGGACAATCGGAACATCGAACCACCGACCACATAGACAGAGCAGCCAGTCGCTCTACCTAGTGAGCGTCTGTGGTCGGGTCCGATTGTCCAGTCCGGGTGAATGAAATATATATATATATATATATGCATTATATATATGAACCTTAATATCTTAGGCATTATAATGAAAATGTACTACATGTATATTTACAAATTGCAAAATATCAGAAATATATGATAAGAGCATAATCACATATGTTGCCATATATGTCGCTACACAGTTCTCAACCCACATAATATTGAAATATGTCACAATACTCTGCAGAGCATTTCCGAATAATTACAGCAAAAATGTATACACAACTATGTTAAAACTCACGACACCTACACACCTACACACACACACTCAAACACACACACACACACACACACACACACACTCTATATGCAACAGAGCCCGATAGGCTCAGGAATCTGTACACCTGTTGATTGACGGTTGAGAGGCGGGACCAAAGAGCCAGAGCTCAACCCCCGCAAACACAACTAGGTGAGTACAACTAGGTGAGTACACACACACACACACACACACACACACACACACACACACACACACACACACACACACACACACACACACCACTGCCTACCCCCCACAAACCCAAGCCACACAAACGTTTTTCACCTCAGCACACCATAGTACCCAAATACACACTCATCCCACACATGTATCATATACCACTATTCCATCCATCACCACATACCTTCAATCACCCAGAAACAACAATACATACCTACATATAACCACACACATATCCCCCACATACCCTCACCACCCTTACACATACCCCTCACCATTCCTACACATCCCCACATATCCCACATACACCACATTCACCCCTCACCCCAGAAACTAGCCGTCTAACATTGTCTCTCTCTCCCGCCGGACTCCAGTGTGTGCCTTCCCCTACATTCTTGCCTTCACTCAGGATAGTATAGAGATCAGACTCATCATCAACGGCAACTTGGTGCAAACTATGGTCATGCCCCGCCTGGCCTTCATCACTTCCAAGGTGAGAGAGAGAGAGAGAGAGAGAGAGAGAGAGAGAGAGAGAGAGAGAGAGAGAGAGAGAGAGAGAGAGAGAGAGAGAGAGAGAGAGAGAGAGAGAGAGAGAGAGAGAGAGAGAGAGAGAGAGAGTTAGCCTAACAAAGCCTATTTGTTACCTAGCCTATTTTTTGCAAATATGTTATATTTATGTTTTCTAGATAACATCAGTTCTAGAAAATTATATATTCTTAGGAGTTAATGTTTCTTCATGCTCATTAAATTCCCACTTAAAAAGTTTGTTAGTACCACCTGGAGCCGTGTAGACAATTGCCGTTATTTTATGATAATTTAGGTGACAGTCTCCTCAATTAGTTTATATATTAAATATATGGTGACTTTTCCAGCCTTCTAGATGCAGATTTGGCAGAATATGATGACTTTTTCAGGCAAAAAGGTTCGATCTGTCACGTAACAGATTTTTTTTCTCGGCTACGATACTGGAAAGTCGTGCGGACTGTCTTCTATTGTTCAGCATATTAGAGATAAGGAGCAGACTCCAATCAGTAGAGACAGCAGGATTTTCTCCCTTCGTTTATTTCGCTCTCCTCATCTATTGCGTTTTGCAGAGTGACATCTTCTTTGCCACCACCGCCCCAGAGTTCTTCACACTCAAGAGGGAGAGAGTGAGAGTGGATCGCATGGAGAGGGACCCCAGCCTTTCCCCTCCCCCTTCCCCACACAGCAAGGAGTGCACAGGTATGAAGGCAATTGAGGAACACAGGTGAGGGGAAGAGGGGGGAATAGAGTTGATGGGGGAGGGAAAGAGTTAAGGGGCGAGGAACACGGGTGAGACACCGCTTGGCATGCCACTGCCCAATATGGCAATACTGTACCTAACACTACGCTTCTCCACAGTGATGGACAAAGACGCAGTGAAGCCCTTCCGGGTTTACCGCATCCCCTTCAGATGTCTGACGGGCGCCAGCACCTGTGAGCGCAGGTGTCCCACGCCCTCTACTCCCCTCCACCCCCCTGTCCTCGGTGCCACCGACGGCTGCAGCACCGGCGGCGCTGGAGACGACACCGGCGGTGGCGGGAGAGCGGGGATGCATCTCCGGGTGTCGGACCAGCGGTACGCTAGTCGGTCGTGCACGGCGTCCCCGACGCATCAACCGTCACCACCGAACCCTTTCTCCGGGGGCACGCCATCCCCAGGATCGTCCCCACTAGTCACCATCCCCCCAGGATCACCGTCCCACCATCCGCCCTACCAAAAGCCCAGAGATCGAACCAACTCCCTCACTGTCGACTCCGCCAGCAACCTCCTACACCATCACCATCACGGGCGTCCCAACCTCCTGCTACACCACCACCATCATCACCACCACCGCCACCACCAGCAGCACCACCCACCCGTCAAGTGAGGGAGGCACCAGCAGCGTCACCGTCGCCTCTAGCGCCATGCAGCCTCCGCGTGCAGCACAACGCCGCCAGCTGTTCAACCATTGTCGCTGAAGTCTTGAAGGATAAAGAATCCCCCCCCCTTCCCACTCCCGCAGCCAAACTATCCCTTCGCTGCTGATCATTATCCGTTTTCGATCCCACCGAGACTAGCCCGCCTTGCCTCTCCTAAAGTAATCTACAATCCTCCTACGACCCCATAATACCGTCAACACACACACACTTACAGCTAGCCTTCCACTTGTCCTGCCCGGCTGACCACCACTCTAGCATCCAGCCTTTTCTCACTCACGATCCATGTATCAAGTCATTCCGAAATGTGATAATCTAAAGATGGCTTCGCCTCCTCCCCCCCCCCCAACAAAACCACACATCTCCCCCACCCCGATCCCCGTCCCCCTGCGTCCCACCCAATGTCTAAAAACAAAACAAAAAAACACATTGCAAACGTCTATTACCTGCCACTGATTCTATTATCAGTATATCAACGTCCTTCTTCATCAATGACCAATTATCACCATTCACTGTCCACCATCAGCTCCATCAACATTCACTTTGCTTCACTAAGCCGTTATCTGGCGTCATAACCCCTGACATCACTCCATTTACCAGTAAGCTGACGTCAATCTGCCTTCAGCACGGCTTTTAAGAATCTACTGACAGGACTATCATGCATTATTTTTGTCTCGAAATTTTGGGTGGAAACTGCATATAAAAGTTAAAAATGTTCATGCGTATACACACACCTTAAGAAAAGTTATTAAGAATGTTCAACACACGAGAAAACATTCAAATGCACCCATGGAGACACTCACGTATACAAACGCATGGACACACACATAAGCATATACGAACATTATGATTCTTTTCCTGCAAGCATTCGACACATAACTCATTAATCTGTAAACAAATATATATATGAATGCTTTTCTAATTTCCTTCTCTTTAAATATGTACATTTGATATATCTCTTTTTAAAAGAGCATCCTCTGCCTTGAGGAGTGTGCCTATGCATCGTCCCCCGCAGTATTACATGTACTTATACTTGTGGGTACACATTTGTGTACCCCCTTTGTAACGTTGTGACCGGTGTCAGTAATTCTAGCATACATGTAGTGTCTTTTCTACTCGCTTCGTTTGTGACCCTCCCTCATACTTTCCATCTCTCACCCCCCCTTCCCTCCTTCCTCCCACCCACGCCTAGGAAAATTCATGACCTAATTTTTGCGTTCTCAAAATCCAACTTTCCATTCCCTCTTCCCAGCCCCATTCTCTCTCTCTCTCTCTCTCTCTCTCTCTCTCTCTCTCTCTCTCTCTCTCTCTCTCTCTCTCTCTCTCTCTCTCCCTCTCCGGTTCCCTCGTGTTTGTCTCCCATTCCACTGTGCCTACCATCACAAACAAAACTGGTTGGCAATAGCTTCATCTTCATTTTAAAAAAACACCGCATCAGCCTTCCAGAATTTCTTTATTGGATGTTCCCAACGCGAAATCTTTTGGCTGCAAGAAAGCCTCTGCCTCATCTCATGTGCCTCTACTCCTGTTTCAGTCTCCTCCAACTCATTTCAGTCTCTTCCTTAGAGCACATCGTCATTCCCTGTAAACTGTCCCACAGCTTGTCTTCCATCTTCGCCTGTCTCTCATCCTTCTGTCTCATCTACTGCCTTACAACTCACACAGCCTATCAATAACATGTCTAAATGTAGCTACCAGCAGTGGAAGTCTTGAAAGGTTTCAACTACTACCTACAGGTTCCTGAACCACCACCATGAACTCACACACAGAAATTCTCCACTGCCAAAGCCTATACCAACAAAGCTGCCTTGGCATACAAAGGTCCATAAAGCTCTATCTACCTTCACTGACACCAATACTATTATCCACTTAAAAATGCAAAAAAATGTAAGCACCACATAACAAAAATTCTAATTATATTGTTCTCTGAATTTTATAGAAACATAATAGCAGTTTCCATAACAAAAACCAGCAGATTCAAACACTAGCTTCTCTAGTCGAAGCCTGGACACTACATATATTCCGAAACTAACTGTCCAAAAATCTCGAGCTTAGTTTAAAGTTAAAAATTTCCTAATATGCAGACATAAGCTATTCCACCTACAAAGTTCAAAATATAAAAAAAAATTTGCAGTCATCCTTTATGATAGAACACACTAGCCAAAATCCCAGTAATCCTTGCAGCTATCAGAGGATGTAGATAGAGGCAACCCATATTCATTTAAACTAATCGGAAACAAGAGATGTTATTTTTAGCAAATAGAAATATAACTTACGTTCAGAGATGATGGAACACAGAACATTGATAATGTCCTTCACTAAAATTTGAAACTAGTATCGTGGTATTTAATCACACCTTTTATATTAAATCGGTATTTGCCATTTACGCCAATTTAACAGCAGTATTAGAGATTTTGACGAATATAAGACAGTATTAATGACCGTGACGAATATAAGAGAAGTATTAGTGGGTTTGACGCCATCAAATGTTAATGGAAATCATATCCGCTATTCTTATAATTGCTGTTTCTGAGCGGTGGAGATTAGATGTGTTTGCCATTGCTAACCTTCCTGGTTCGTGTCATTTAGTATGTAACAGCTATGACAAGTTATCTTGCAAGAACAACTAAATTTCTTACCACAAATCTTGTAGTATCTGATGTCTTTAAATTGCCAAGAAATGTTGCTAATTTTCAGGTCTCAAAGATATTTAGAAGCAAAATTTAAATTAAATAAAAGGCAGGAAAATATTATTTTTCTCACAAAATTAAAGCGATTAGTTACAGCATGGATTTTAACATTTAAATAACTAGCAGTCGGTCTGTCCTAGATACTGTAATTTCAATTAATTATGGTATCTCATGAATTCTTAGATCATGGTAATTTGTATTACCTTAGACCCTTTCTCAATAACTTCCCAAAATTCTTTAGATTATAAAAGGTTTTCTTAATGTTTACCTATTTTACCTTAAGACACATCATATACCTAGTAACAACCTCTCATAATGACTCAAACTATCAATTAAAGCTCTGGAAACGTCCTTCTACAAGCTGGTAACCCTTTTTGTTCTCAAGATATTCGCTCCAGTCATTTTAGAAAGCTTTTGCTATCCTATTAATAACCTTCCTCGATTGTCCTCTAGATGTCTATCCTCATATATCTAGGAATATGTTCTAGTTACAAGCCTATTTAAGAGAATTTGTAAACGTAGACAAATTAAAACATTGATAATTTTTCCACTGTGTGAGAAGAAACTTATCAATATTATTTAAACAATTGTAAACCGTGCTTTGCATTTATGAGCAAATATCATGAAACTTGCAAGTATTAGAGTACCGAGAGGTTTAACAAATGAATTAATGCCATTTATGCAATAACCCCGTGTTCCAGGCTTTGTGAGACCTTATTAGTAAGGTTTCACTGATAAAATTTTTGCTAAGCTTTTGCTACTTCATTTGCATATCATTTCAGACATATCCCTGCATACTCCAAGCATGGTGTTCAGTACTGTTTCCACTGTTACGAAAGGCAAATTTGAACCTTCAGTTGAGAACAATGAAAGGTCTGAACTCACAAACAAAATGGCCTTATACTTTGAAAGTGTCGTTTAAGCCCCTCAAAGACGTGACTTAGGGAATGCAGAGTACTTGTTATGACCCAGGGAAAGCAATCAAGGTGTGTTTAGGTTAGCGTGACATGCGCTGGAACATTAAATGGCGTTTCAATCGAGCAGTGGGGGGTTCTTAAACTTGAATTATGATCATTACTTCTTGGAACAATTGTTGAAACACACCACAAGGGTGTTTGAACACGGGCAGAAATTAAATGAACCTAAGAACTCTCTCTAAGAGTATTATTGGGTATACAAAAACAACAGTTTCTCTTCCTCCAGAAGAACCGTTTTAATGCTTCTAAAAAAATAAAGAAATGGCCAAAAGACACGTGCTGACGTCAGCATCGAAAATATACAACCCACCTAAAAGTCACGGCTCTTGGCCACATGGGACTGGTGTCTTTAACCCGTGAATCATATAATGTACTGTACTTTATTTCCTACAACACCTGGTGTTTGAATATCCAACAAGACTTTATAATTTACAAATGCCAAAATGCGTGTTTAAATCGTCAGAGCAAAATCCTCAACCTCTTACAAAGCAAGATGTCCACATCTGTAGAGACAAAATTGAAAATTTAGGTTATGCTACCTGTACATTTATTCTATTTCCGTGTTCCCATCCAAGTCTTTTTCGATTAAAGTACCGTATATAAATTTTTGTTATGCAGATACTTTTCTGGTGACAATATAGAAGGGTTTTCCCTGGCCTGTATGGGTATGAAGTGGTCCATCTAATGTATTACTAACATATAATTACATGATTTCATTATAATCAATTGTATGGCGATTTGATTGATGCCATTTCCTAGATAACATGCGATAACAATCAGGAAACGAGAAGTATGGCATTAAAATCTAAGGTTTTCTATTTTGTTAGTACATATTTTCACTACTAATACTGTTGGAACCTAATATTAAATTAAAATATAACTGTCCCTATTAAAAATAAATGCTTCATTGTAAACAGAAGAAGCATGAACTCGATACTCATTGCTAATATACATTCCACAATGGCTCCATTTGTTCCGTACTCAAGCGTTCAATAGCTCTCAATCCCATAGCAACAACTTCCAATTCCAACCTTTCTTCTCATAACTGTATACTCGAGCTTGTTGCTAGCACATGTTTTTCAAAGTATTCCAATCTATAGCCAGTATCAGTTTTGTTGTTTAAATTGACGAGTTTTTCCTGCAACCTGAATTTGTTTTTGTTTTTTAATAAAAAGGTCAATAATGTTCTTTAAATTTTGTCTCACGAAACGCTGGAGAAGATTATTTTTTTTATTATTGGATACATATCTACAAGAACGTGTCAAAGGAAATCTTAGATCTTAAGAAATCCCAAATGTGTTACAAGAATGTTGCGGTTAAACGTTAGTATGTGAAATCCGTTGTTTTCCCTGATCAGACTTATAAGTACTGACTTTCCCCCAAAGATTAGCATTTTCCCCGTGGAACTTTATGCGATTGTATGTGCTCTATACCAGCTGCTGTTTGGCGCATGCGTTCATTTGATACATTTGCGTTCATTTGGTCGACACTCAATGCCCTCATACCTCTATTCTTTTAACTCTTCCCATCCTGTCGTGGTCGAAATCCCATACTGGCTCTACCTCATCTTTAGCAAGTTTAAGACAGTCGAATTTCTCTTGGTTACCCAGCCATACTGGCATTACGTCTACCGAGCTTGCAGACGATTCCGTTACTGAGGAGGCCATTCGTGTTTGTCCCGTCTCCCAAGATAGGATTCCTTACTCGGATTTCTAACCATTCATAATGCAGTCCATTGGCAAGAGAGATGATCAGGTATTATGAGTAACAAACTATTAAATGTGACATACATTTATATATATATATATATATATATCTCCCCGCCCCCTTGACTTTCCTTCTACCATCGTAATACGTAGGAAAACTCTAGCTAGTCTGCGTACTAACCAAGCACTTTCAACTCATGTCGGAACCTCATACCTTTGACTTGCCCTCGTATTGGGAACCTGAATGATGTTTACATCCTTTGGATTATTCTGTGACACGGACAGACGGTGCTAAACAGTTTCCCGCCTCGGTACAGTCATTTGCAGACAGCAAGTCACAATAACATGACTGAAAATTAAGTAACGACGTTTCAGTCCGTCCTGATAATGGTCCAGGATGGACCGAAAAGCCGTCACTTCTTTTATTTCCTGATGTGTGGACCGGGTATAACTTAATTTATTTGGATTTTGTTAGCTAATCTTTTGTAAATTATACATATATGTTTCATATATAGGGTAGTAAATCTAATCTTATTAATAAGTCTCGATATAAATCTTAATTTGAATCTCCGGTAAATGCGAAATCCAGCTTCCCGAAAATGCTTAATATATAATTAAATTTCTTCACCCCTCGTTATGCTACCTAACCTTTTTAAACACGTAAATACAAAGCCGATACTATAGTCACTACTCCAATATTCTTAAGTCTTACAGTACCCTTTTTAGCTAAATATAATCTACCTTTGGTCAACGGTAACAAACGTCGTCAGTTTCTATTCTTTGGCCAAGTCATGATAGTTATCCATCTCTCTACTTCTCTTTGACCATTTATTTTACCTGTTCGCAAAGCTCTATCAATCCCATATGCTGCTGCAAAACACAACTGTAAGGAGGAGGAGGAGGAGGAGAATGTGATGTTAAGAAAAAATGCCAAGCCACAGATAAATGGTAGGCCCTCCATGTGACGTAGAAGTCGAGTATTATAGTTCAGAACTGACGAACCACATCTTGGGAAAACAATTCAGTATCGGCGGTTCAAAATGTGTAAGCCATTCCCTGGTCACACTTGTCCAGGCGGCAACCAACCACAGAGACACATTCAGCAACTTGAAGGCACTTTGTAATGAAAACTGTATTTTTTTAATGTAAATTTACATTTTATATGTATAATAATTTTGCCAATAGTTAGGTCTAGCATGTTTGGTTTGGTACTTTTGTTTCGTTTGCAAATACTGTGGAGATTTACAGAAGTGGGATTCAAATCTTGGAAGCGAGTCAAGCACTGTTCTGCAAAAGTTCGAACATGATCAGTTGTGAGTTATGTGTAAAGTCTTTTTTTATTATTAATAGAAGCAGCCTATCCTAATTAACAACGGCCAAATGCTCGTCAACCTTGCCTCCAACCCCAATTATGAATTAAAAACTCTTATTACACTACTGACACCTGATGACATTCGAACTTTTCTTGAACAGAACTTTGCTCACGACCTCCGTTCGAATCACACTGTAGTTAGTGCTTCCCACACGTACAACAAACAATCTCCAACGGATCATAACATAATCTAGCTTTATCTATAACCAAAAATCTGACATATAATATTAATTTATATTTTGGAAAATGTCAGTTTTGAATACACAGTTAAGTTTTATTTTTTTGGGGGGGTAGGGAGGAGGGGGGGTTCGGCCCCAGCAGCAGCTTGGATGAGTATGGCCTGAGGTCTGGTTGCATAAACGGGGGTTTAGTTGCTGAATTAATAAGCATTTGGCCATTGTTTATGAGGACGTGTAGATTGTGTTCGACTGTTCTTGGGTCGCAGTTGGCATACGTAAGGCAGATTGCCGCCGCCATCAAGAGTACCTCCAGTCTGTGAGCTTACGGCTGCAGATCTCTGAAAGAGATGCTGCCGTGTGGTCTGCTGCAAGCTAATGACTTGTCTGTCGTTCTGGAATTTACTGTTGGCTCGTGGTTCCAGATAATGGTTCATTACCAGTTTGTGGTTCATTCACCGCTTGTGGATTTACTGCTAGTTTGTAGTTCCCCACCAGTTCGTGGATAATAATCATTCCACTCGATTTCGTGGATAATAATCATTCCACTCAATTTCGTGGATAATAATCATTCCACTCAATTTCGTGGATAATAATCATTCCACTCAATTAAAAACACACACACAACTATGTGATAATCTAATTTTATTTTCCGGAAGTTTATATTTGAAAAATAAGGAAAGTAGCCGTGAACAGACGTAGTATTTGATGCATTTTTGTAGAAAGTAGATTAGGTAGATTCAGTCAATGTACTAACTCCACTCCACCCACAAAATGCCTCCTTCCCTTGCCCTCCCAGTTTCCTCTCCCGTTAATTGTATCAATACTGGAGTTAATTGTGGCAAGACAATCTAAATGTTGATAAGTTAATTTAGAATCATGCCGTAGAGTATATGTACATATCGGCGCTGCTGCCAAAATGACGCCTCGAATATTATAACTATATACAAAAAACATCCTGTACCTTATTAACTATTGTGACATATAAACACGTGATACACACACACACACACACACACACACACACACACACACACACACACACACACACACACACACACAAACACACACAGTACGGCATACTTAAGAAGTTATGAGCCTTCGACACTGGGAACTGGCCTAAGACGAAGCCGATACATCCAACATTGTGAAGTTAATTACGAATCTGAGTATTCGCACGTTTCACCAAGAAGTTAACGGAAGGTTAAACCGTGTGTCGCAAGATCATACCTCTAAAGAAGTTCGCGCTGTCGTTGGATCAGAACCGCGAGTGAAAACACGTGTCAAGAGTAAGGTTCTCTCTTGTCTCGTATTAGGTCGCTAATGCAGAATGGAACCCAACCGCCGCTGTGGTTCCCGCGCGATACTTAACACCTTCAAGACAGTAAAGTTGAAACGCCAAATCGGGAGAAGACTATTTATATACCATTGGACTCTGGTACCTTGTTTTTTTGTTTTAAGAGCACAAGTTAGAATATACACACGATTAGCGAGAGCAGGAGAGGTTAGTGGAGAGACGAGTTGATGGGTAGATTTAGTTGGAGTAACGTGCGGGGGTGTTATAAGGAAATCACACTTTGAAGCTGAGTTAGATCAGATGTTATGGGGAAACTGCTCTAGTTTTGTGTTGGTAAATGACAGTGACTTCCAGGCTCCGGCGCCTGGGTAAATAGCGTCAGGCTTGGTCAAAATTAACGGTGTCTAAAGCAGGAATCGTTGGACAAGACACCATCACCATCTGCCTCTTCAACAGGGAGGGCCCCAAACCTCTTGAAAAATGCTCTCTGCTTTTTGTTTTACAGTATTTCCGTTTTAAAAGCCTAACTACTACATTGAGATGCTATAATAGGTATAATGCTGCCTTGTTATGATAATATTAGTGAAGCATTATCATAATCTGATGGTCTTCCTAGAGGTACACAGAGGGTTTTGTGACGTGTAGCTACAGAGCCAACCTCAGCCGTGTTATGTTTTACAAGAGTAGGAAACAGAATAAAATTTGGTTAAGCCATTGGAAACTTTTATAAATTGATGTCGATGTGTTATGGTAGGAGTTTGAGGCTTCGAAGCGCACTGAAACCTTCGCCGCATTATTTACTAACAGAACATTTTGTATTCTCGGAGAAAATTTAAACAACAGAGTGCAGTCGTGTGCAAAGCATTTTAAATAAATATTTGAGCACAGTGTCGTATGTGTGTTGAATATAAAAATGCAAGGAAGTAAGAAGTTGGAAAATAGGATGGACGGAGTTGATAGTGTTCACTAGGAAGAAACGCATCACCCACGGGATGGGTAAGGGGTGCATAATAAATAGATTGAATTGAATTGACAGGGAAAATAAGACCCGTCTCTATAGCTGGTCTTACTCAAGCGCTGGTCGACCAAGTAACATAAACATGCGCCTTAGATGTGTATATGTGATGCCAAGCTCTACCAGTTTCTGCCTAGTCGAGTCCAAAATAGTTTTGAAACACTGAAAAACTAATTTTTGCGTTGAACATTCACTTGACTTTATTTGCCTTCGGTGAGTAACCAGTTAAAAGAACCAATTCTTTAAATAGCATTTTAGAATTATATGGGAACAATTTATAATCAAATGTAGTTTTGGATACAATTAGAAATTTTTGTAAAACTGGTATCTAAGGCAAATTTATAGCGAGTGAGTGTCCGAGCAATCAACGGGAAACACTTCTGCCTTTGATCTCTACTTTTGCCGATACTCTCTTTGGTTCAACAAATCTTTTAGGTGTTGTAACTCGACGTACCAAATTAGGGACTGGCTAGTCAGAAAACATTATGAGTACCTTCTCCATTCTACACGTGGCATGGTTCTTTATTTCCCCCTAAATTAGAAGTATTCACATTACGTTAAATCGAAAATTAGGCACGTCAAAAAAAAGATTATTCTCAGATTCAACAGTACTTCAGAGGTAAACTTTTTAAACATTTACATGCTTATTTAAGGTATACCAAAAAAGCCATGTGACGTGTAGGATGATGTGGACTATTGTTGTGATAGAAGATTCTATGCCACAAAACTTGAAGGGTTAAGGACTAGAATCTCCTCACACTATATGTCGCTCTATCCCCCCAGTGTGTGGTCAATGTAGCTATTCCCTTCTAGCAGAATATTTTTGTGTAATTCCGTAAGTGATCCTCTCCATGAAACAAAACTTGTTCATGACCTCCCTTGATAGTTCACCAGTGTCTGGTTATGTCCAAGTTCGTTTATTTGTTAACTGTTGGCCTATGTCACCATATTCAAGCAGCCTGTGTCCGGTTATTTGAAGTTCGATCATTATTCCGGATATCTAAAGTTTGATCGTCAGAATTTCTCTTCCTGGATGCCGTACAATGTGATATTTAAGGGATGATTAGTGATCTTATGAACGGCACTGTGGTCTCCAGCTCTGACCAATTATCTATTGTCTAGTCTCAGGTATCTCGAATCTCGCTACCTATTTCGGTATTAAAAGATTATATACATATTCGAGGATATTACGTTTCTGAAACTAGACAGCATTTTTGTTAGGAACATTATTTTCATCATAATGAGCTCAGAGCTGAGAATTAGTAAAAAAGCGAATTATTGACCTACATAGGCGTTCACACTTCAACATAAATAAATCTATACATATAGTTTCAAAGTTTCAGTGCCCCCCTAATTAAACAAAAGAAATATACAGTTGTTTGAAACGTTGCCCAGCTGACTGAAGATTTTCTACCTATTTATTCTCGTTGATAACAAAACTAATACGTTATTTAAATTATTATTACGTAAGAAATAATTATCCAATTTCCTGTGCATGTTTTACCAATTAACATCACATGATTTTATAATTGGATAAGAACTGTGATGAAGTTGTTTATAATTAAATAGTTTATCGACGATGTAATGTTAATACTTATATACAGACTGTTGATTTATAATGTAGTTTCTATACAAAATTATAAAGACCTTTATGAAGGTTTTACTTTACACATACGAGTAATTGGTATGAATATAATAACTCACGTCTTTTTATCATGTTAAACATCATCCAAATTGTTATACTATGTTATCAATGTTACAAATGCCAAACATGATCTAAGATAACAGCTTGACACAAGCTGTCGCAGCAATTGGCACATGGTTTCTCGTAAACAATGCTCAATGATTGGAATGTTAGGAGTTTCACATTAATTTGTAATAATAGGTTTGAAATACTGCAATTAATGACGGACGAATTTTTATATTATATCCAGTTGCACACACACACACACACACACACATATATATATTATACGAAATTGTGATCGATTTATATTATTCAAAGATAAATTATTGCACATTGCAAAGTAATCATTTTTGCTTTGTGTGTGAGTATATTTACTGGCGCAAAGTGTTGCTTAATTATGTTATGTTTGCTTAATTTTTCTCTCAATTTATTTTAAGGTTTTTTGATCGAGTTATGCAAGTTATAATTACTTCAGTATTATTATTAAAGTCACTAAACCCTGTTTGTATATATAATCTTCTAAAGGCTGTCTTACAAAAGTTACATATAACGATGAGCCGTATAAAGCTGGCTGAAGTGACATGAATGATGTAATAACTTAGAAATCCTAAAATGTCACTCAAATGATAAAGAACAGATGCGTTAAAAGTTACAACTTGAAGAGTATGGAATCATGACAAACTGTGTACTGTTGTTTCACAAAAGAACTGTTCTCCTTCCGTGGACTTTCCTTATAGATCTCGCTCTCACTTACTCTCACTCACTCTCACACGCCCTTATGTGCTTGAATTTGTAGCATCTGCTGTAGTAAATTTTGTAATTATAAATAATTCTGAAAACAAAGCAAATGTGTTGAATTTTTTAGTTTAATAATGTATTATATATATATATGCTATAAAATGAAGATGACAATACCTAAGACTCATTTAGCAGATTATTACTGCATATATATTTCGACATGAAATATAATATTAAAATAATAACACTTTCCACGCCTTTATTGCATTATGACATTGGGCGAGTGTTCAAATCATATTTGTAATAGGAGTTTTATGTATAAATAATATATTAAAATCTTCCAACCTTTAAGACTGCATCAAGAGGAAGTTATACTGATTCTCGTGACATTCTCGCTTGGGATATCTTATGCATTAAAATTATAAAATGTTACACAGGTATATACAATTAATATTATATATATATATATATATATATATATATATATATATATATATATATATATATATATATATATATATATATATATTGCTTATTTCTTGCAGGATTTGATACAACTGCAGATATTTTCGTTACCTAAAATAACGTTGCAAACTATTTAAAGAGAGTTAAATAACAAGAGTTAAATAAGTTAAATAAAAAAAGATAAATTTATTTAACCAGTCTTAAGAAAATGATAAAAGAATTTCTACAAATTTGTTTAATTGTTGAAACTGATTCACCTATAACAAAAAATTAATAAAATAGATTCTTCTATTTTAACATGATGTTATTGGCTTTTAAATGTTAAGTTATAAGTTGTTTTGTAGTTAAAAAAATGATGTAGTTTATGTTACATAGTTTAACAAACATGTCTGTACATGTAATAAAAGTTTTACATTTAAACATTATGACAAAGTGCAAGAAATATTTGTTGTACATTAGGATGAAATGCAAACAATTGCCACATTGAAAGAATGTTGCAAAAAATGTCATCCTTGTATTAATTAAAAACTAAGTGTATATGGTATAGATCCAGACACATGAGGCTGCCTCACACCATACGCTTAATTGTGTTAAGCGCACTTAATTAAGTGATAACACTTAATCATAAGTGTTGCTTCCTGGGATGGATTGTGGGTCTTGCGTAACGAATAATCACTTCGAATCCAGCCCCGCTCCTGTGGTAGGTGAGCCTCTGCGGGCTCACCATAGCCAGTGCTACTTGCAACTTTTTTGTTCCCCAGTAGCTTAATCTAAAAACAACAACAATAACAACAACTTCGAAGCCTCCCACCACATCCCCTTCAGGGAGAAAATAATGGCTTATGGATTTTAGGATAAGAAACGGTAATGATTTCTGAGTTATTACATTTGTATTATTAATAACTAATTTTTAAGTCTTAGAAGTACATTACTTTTGACAGCCACCATATTTGGTTATGTGATGTCATGAACATGTTTGGTTATGTGATGTCATGAACATGTTTGGTTATGTGATGTCATGAACATGTTTGGTTATGTGATGTCATGAACATGTTTGGTTATGTGATGTCATGAACATGTTTGGTTATGTGATGTCATGAACATGTTTGGTTATGTGATGTCATGAACATGTTTGGTTATGTGATGTCATGAATTACAGTTTTGAGAACCAACTTTCCCAACTGAAGCCATAATTCACCTGGAGCGTCACTCATATAACTGAATCATAATTATTAACATAATTCTATAACTTGTATTATACTGAGACCATAGTATATACCTCTGTGGATATAAACAAAAAAATATAGATATTTATCCTGGCTGTAATCCAGTCTGTAAAAAGGATTTGATATTTTACTGCTATCACGGTAATAAGAAATCTGATCGTAACTGGGTACTTTTATTTATCCTACGATGATAGTCACTTGTTTTTTCATACGATTATTTTTCCCATGAGATGTTCTCGTCCATAACTACTGAGGCTAACCAAGAAGAATTTGACTGAAGAGAAAGCTTCTTGGTCCTTTTTACCTTTTAACCTGTTGATCGTTAGATGCAATTTCTACCATCCTTGTTTCTTATAATAAAACAGGAATAATATATATACTGTATATTATATATATATATATATATATATATATATATATATTATATATATAATGTCGTACCTAGTAGTCAGAACACACTTTTCAGCCTACTATGCAAAGCCCGATTTGCTTAATAAGCCAAGTTTTCATGAATTAATGTTTTTTCGACTATCTAACCTACCTAACCTAACCTAACTTTTTCGACTACCTAACCGAACCTAACCTATAAAGATTGATTAGGTTAGGTAGGGTTGGTTAGGTTCGGTCATATATCTACGTTAATTTTAACTCCAATAAAAAAAAATTGACCTCATACATAATGAAGTGGTAGCTTTATCATTTCATAAGAAAAAAATAGAGAAAATATAATAATTCAGGAAAACTTGGCTTATTAGGCAAATCGGGCCTTGCCTAGTAGGCTGAGAAGTGCGTTCTGGCTACTAGGTACGACATATATATATATATATATATATATATATATATATATATATATATATATATATATATATATATATATATATATATATATATATATATGGATTTATAAGAGAGTTTATGGGAGGGGATTTTACTTATTGTTCTGACCGGAATAACACCCATAAGAAACTGGACATAAGCCTTAACTATCAATAAACAGCGGGTACACGAATAGAGGCGTCAACACCCATATCAGAAGATATTTAGAAAAATGGTATAACAGACAACAACAGCAAACAGCCCCTTCCATAAAACTATTACAAATCTACTATGAGCTCACAGTATAAAACAGAAAAAAGAAAAATTAAAAATATAATTTCTAATGGAGTGAAATCGACATCCCCAGACCCAAGATTGAAATTCATTATTTATTACAAAACAAAAAGGACTGCTGATTTAATACTGAAAAACAGCCCCCGTAAAATACAACCCCTCTCCAATAAGCAAATGTGGCGTACATGCCCCAATGAAGGATGTCACCTTCCATCTACTTATATTGGTATGACCCTCACAAAACCTCCGAGATAACTGACCTGTCATCTACAAGCTGGTGGCCCTAGAGACCATATGCAAAGTGTACATAACACAACACTCACTAGGAACATGTTAGTAGATAATACAACAATCCTGGCATCCACCACTGACCAAAGAAGACTACAAATCTTGGAAGCTATACTCATAAGATAAAAAAGATCCACCCTAAATATTCAGAGTACTGACTTCGATACCTTGCCTACACTCAGATCCAGATCTCATAATACATCACCGGATAACGATGGCATCTCTACCGAGTTCTTCCTGCCCACCGCCTTATCCAATGTTTGATTGGCATCGTATCCCCAGTATTCAACCCATTATTTCCTAATTCCTTACCTTATGTTTGGTGCCGCTATCTTTCTTCGTCCCTTCACCTCACTCTACACAACTTCACTTCTTCCACGTGTGTATTTAAGACAAAATTTCACCTAGTGTATTGCGACAAAGGTCATCTACAACAGAATAGCAGAAGGTTCGCCCTCTGCAATATAGTATCTTCAGGCCACCAAGTTAGGCAGGTTAAATATCCCAATAGGAATCCACAGGGAAATATCAGTTCTGTTATATAGCCTGCGTCTAGGCTATATAACTGGGAAACTGGTGATGCAACTGGGAAATTGGTGAACCCCGACAGAGAGAATGCATCTTCTGCCAAACAATCACAGAAAAGCCGCTACTTCACTATCTCCTGGAATGTCAAGCAACCAACGACCTTAGAAGAGCTTTAAGAGTCCCTGAATCTTGCAGTAACCACCCTGAAGCCATCAACACTGACACTCTTCTGGTCAAAAAAGGTGGTCCAGCAGCTGGACATAAATACTACAATACAATACAATACAATACAATACAATTTTATTTAGGTAAGGTACATACATACAATAAATATTTACAAGGATTGTTTGACTTATAGGTAGAGCTAGTACATACAATGCCTAAAGCCACTATTACTATATCCTTCCCCACGATAGCAGCCTAACGATTGAAATGCGACCTCAGCACACAGTATACATTCACTCATACATACAAAAAACAAATGACTTATAGGTACCACTTATTATTACTTATTCATGCTCTTGCTTATTCATGCTCTTGCCACTTTTTGGGTGGCTTAATCTTCATCAATCAATCATCTAGTGTATTCATTCCTTACCTGAAGATGTTCGAGAGTCGAACGAAACGTTGTAGAAAATAAACCTTTCACTTATCACTAGAGTTTTGTTACCATGAATTTTGGGATCTTGATTGCACTTCTTAATCCCGATAGTAAGAAGATAGAAGCATAGAAAGCTTATACTATAAGATCGACAACGCCAGCAATGTCATATTTAAATGGGTCATATTTATATATATATATATATATATATATATATATATATATATATATATATATATATATATATATATATATATATATATATATCGAGCCCCCCCCCCCAGGCCGAATTACAGACCTCGCCCCAGGATGCAATCCCACAGCAAGCTGACTTGTACCTACCTACTCACGAGTACTGACTTATGAGTACCTACTCACTGCTAGGTGAAAGAAAATGTGCCCAAACGTTTCTGTCCAGCCCGGAATTCGAGATCGTGCGTCGAGAACGAACCCGACTGTACTGACGAGACCCTGAGATTGTATTATATATTATATTATATCGAACTATCGACCTTCCCTAGGATGTAACCCCACAAAAGTTGCCTACCTCCCATGTACCTATTTATTGATTACTGAACAGAGGCATTAGGTGAAAAAAACAACATGGCCCAACCATTTCTATCCCGCAGAAATGGTTGGGTCCGAAATCCACGATTGAGAGTCTATAACGAAACCAACTGTACTACGAGACCTGTAGACAGATCATTTTCAACGAAATACTAATTTCTTGAGCATCTGTTAAAAGCTGTCTCTAAAATCATCTATTGTCACTCCATCACATTGTGACGCAGAAGTTTCAATCTCCATCCCAAACAAGTCAGACCTCAGACAAAATGCAACAGTTTACCCTAACAAACGTTTTCTGTCATTTGTATCTGCGAGAACTAAATAAAGAATGAGAGTATGAGGAAATTTCACAGCAGATCATAATACACAACAGAATTAACCCATGTACCTTCATCTCTATCGGCCCCAATGGAGACAGGAAATCGGCGGCTTGTCAAATGTCTACCATTTTGAAGACTATTTTGTTTTATATTAACAGTCTTAGGTACACAGCAATGTGTGGCTACCCTATTCTAATGGCCAGAAATCGTTGAGTCGAAATCGCTCGTCTGATCAACCAAAGTTAAACAACGTTTTGGTTTGGTTAGTACTTGGATGGTCAACTGTCTGGGAACACCAAATGCTCTTGGCATTTACTTTCATCTCCATTAAACTTCTATATTATTCTCTTATTTGTTGTATTTATTTTTTGTTGCTTACATTATGCCAGAAAGGCTCTGTACTCGTGGTTTTATATATTGTTTACGGTTGCCGCTCCACACACATACTCCATGGATCCTCCCACCTCCACACACTTCAATATACACAGCCTTCGCCACACCCTCACCGTCTCAGCCCACACCCTCTTTCTGTCACCCCCCACACACTCCCTGCCCACAAACACCCTCCACGTTTCGCTTCCACACTTACCTTCCCTTCCTCCTCCCCACACACACCCCTGTCCCACCTACACACGCACACCCTCCCTGTCATCAGGTAACACTATCTTCACAACACTGTTTCCATCACTATAAATTCCCTACCCACGCACACCACATCCCCCCCCCCACCTCCCCTCCTTTATCCTCTCCCCGTCACCGTAATAATTTTCACTACACACTATCTCCATCACTGTCATCACTGTGCAGGACCCATGAAAACTATGTATATGCACCGAGAAGCGGGATACATAAATATTCCCTTATCGGGACATTGTATCTTCGACTGAGCTATTTAGCAATTACTATGTACAATGAGCAACCAACAAGTTGTTATGTGACATGTACAATGGTTCCTACTAATAAAGCAATTAACGTTCTGCGTAACGACTTCTCAAATGATTGTTGTGTCCACTTGAATACTAACACGACAATTAGAGGATTTTATTGAACTGGTAAAAATACGTATTTCTCATTGTTATTTCACTCGTATATGAATGCTTTTACAGACTATAGTTCGTGATGTCGTTGGGTTGTTTTCAGTGCCATTTTTAGTCTTTAAATATCAAGCGTTTTAGAGGTGTTTTGGTTTAAGTGAACGACAACCTTCGATTTAAATATTCCAACATGGGTTGCATTTGATTAAAGTTAGGCTAAACACTGTAGAAACAATTATGCTGTCGGATATATCCCTTTTTGTACGTTATTTTAATTAAAGAAAATATTCTAAAATTAACTGATTTTTGTTAGGCGTCTTGTACACTGTGTTTCATACAGTGCAAGACGTCTTCCCGAAGTTGCAAAGATTAGAGAGAGCCCTTGAGAAGAATAACAGCCATTTTCTGGCTGTTTTCTCATTGCTCATGCCTATGGAGGCATGAGCAATGAGAAAATAACAATTACTACCCAGGGACAAAAATTGTGTTACATGGTATTATTTAATCAAGGGGAGGATACTGGAACAAAGAGTACTAATTTGGATATTTTCTTAGAACATTTAGAATATGTACAGCAGACGGACCGTAACGTCGACGTTTCTCCATCTTCTGATGGAGAAACGTCAATGTCATCGTCATTGTCAAACGTCAAAGGTTTGGTCATCATATCTTCAGCCACGTTATTGTGGCTCGTCGTCTGCATATGTACAGCAGAGTTCTAAGAGTTCGAGTAATGAGATTTTGAAGATCTTTGCGAGTTTAAGGTTCCAGATTTATTGCAAATGCTAAAAATAAAAGCTAGGAATATTTTTTAACAAGTCAACACCAGGACACTACAAGATAATCAGTCTCACTCGCCAGATGCACATTCACCGCTGACATTTATCAGTGTACGACCGTGGCTGGTATCGCTGCAGAAGAAGTGATTCCTCAAGCCATCAAAAATATAATTATGAGCAAGAAAATGAGGAGAGATAATGTTTTGAATGTAGATAATTATTGTATTCCTAAAAGTCAATATGATAAAATGTAAGAGATCGAGGACTGATTAAAAGATTTAGTAAGACAATAAAACACAGATCACTAATAATGTAAAAGATACAAATAAAAGTAATAAGGGGGACTAGGCTTCATGGGGGGGCTGTAAGTTGTGTTTTGAAAATAAATGAAGCGACGATAGTCGGAATAAATTTTCATGTGCAACTGCAGTACAATTAGGCAACTGGTGTGGGTTGCATCCTAGGGAAAGGCCAAGTTGTAAGGCCCAGCGGAACCTCGGTGAACCTACCAGCCTTCATGTTCACGATAATGAGAACCAAATTGAGGACGGTTTAGCTTCTGCATTGTAAACCAGAGTGTGCATCACCCTTGCGCTCCCTGGTGTGTGTATGTTCTAGGGTTGCTCTACAGACTAGCCGTCCTTCCCAGACTCTTTACGGTCATTACTCCTTTATCATAGTGTCCTTACTAATGGCCCCCTACGCTCGGTAAAGGACCCCTCCGATATTCTCTTGGTATCATAACCTATACACTGCCTCAACTTATGGCCCCTACATATTGACCAACCCTGGAACACACAGTAATAAGAGCATCGCGGACACGCTTGAGACCTGCTCCCCAAAAAATTTTCTGTCGAGAGGAAAAATCAGCACATGAAAGTTTAAAATTGTTTAGGGATGATCAGGTCGCCGACAAACTGCTGTGTAACAGTGTTCCTGGCGAGGGTTCCGGATATATATATAAGATTTGTTTATTCTCTTCATTTATTATGTATCCCATACCCGTGGGCGGTAGTGGGAAATGTTATAAAAGGTACATATAATGCTTAGGCTCTGACTCTCAAAAGATAATTTGGTTAAGCAAGTAATAATCACGTGAAGCTAGTTGCCCTGGTTAAAACCTAATTAAAACCCTGGTTTATGCCTCGGAGAGGCTGCGGGATCCAGTAAGTTCAGTAGAACTGCGGTTTCAACTCTTTTACCCTATCGTAGCTCAGTCGATTAAGGCAGTGTCTGGGATGCTCCCGGACGCAGGTTCGAATCCTCGTCACGGCCCTTGTGAATTTGTTCATTTGATGCATCACGTTAGTGTGATCTCTGTGTGTGTACATAATTGTCCTTTATGTCCCTAGCGGTTCAAAGACGTGGCTCCCAATTGTCTCTATACACACTGTAGTGAGAGACTCTTTACAGGTGTAGTGAGCCGCTCAGTTACTAGTCCTGCTCCCCTACACCCGTCCACAGGGCGGCAGATGTACAATATTTACTCTCATGTGCCTGCTCATGTTTCTGTTTTCAAGGATAAATGCACACCGATAGTTTATTTTAAGTCCTGGAGATCAGGATGATGATAATATAGGTGTTAGTTGATGAGTAAGCTCATGTGGTGGATCCAGTAACCATCAGGCGAGTGATAGGCCTACAGCCCAACACCAAACTATTGTTTGTTACTCTTAAGAAAATTTTTAACCCCCTTCGAAATGTTGAGTTAAAGCTTCTTTGACTTCTTAAGGCATATTTATTCCAAAATATTTTTTGTTTAAATATGTATTTTATCTCTGTCGGAAGTTTTACCAAGTATAAAGGCGAGTGAAGAAAAACTAATAATTACTATGGAACAAGTATGGAAAGGAAATAAAAGAAAAACTAAATCCAAATAGTTCTCGAGGCTCTGATGAAGTTTTTTCGGGGACTGAATAGAATGCAAGAAGAATTTAGTCAACCTTAGTCAAGACATCTATAAATCCCTCGAGTTGCGTGCTGTTCCAGAACGAGTGATTGGTTGTGACTGTAATCCAAATTAACAAAAAATGGGGGATGGTAGATATCACTGGCGTCCAACTACCGTCCAATTAGTTCAACATTAAATGTGGGTGATTTGTGCGAAGCGATATTCATGTCTTTCGCAATTGTGTAGATCAGAGATTAATAAAGGATCCACAAGAAGACTTTACAAAAGGACGATAAAGTTTAACATAATTAACGTCGTTATTTTTCAAGAATATTTTGGGAAAAATGATATATTAAACCTTATACTCAAAGGCTATACTGAAAGTGTTGCACACGATAGACTGATAAGGAAGGTAAAAGCTCATTGTATTGAAGGGAATCTGTTGAACTAAATCAGGGCCATGGATCACCCAACAGGAAAGTTAAGTTCAGAATACATCAATTGGTCAGTCTAAAGCGGAGTGGCTCAGGCTTTTGTTAATTATTAACATAAATGTTTTAGAATACCAGAGTGATAAAACGATAAATTTGCAAGTTTATCTGTTTTGCTAAAACAGAACAGTTAATAAATAGAGATTAAGAGGCAAGAATGTTACAGAAGGATCTGAACAGACTTCCAGAATGGAAAAAAAAAACATTGGCCGATGCAGTTTAATTCTGACAAATAACGTGTTCTAATCCATGAAAAGAAAACAACAGGTACGAGATATCAGTCGAACAATAATGAAACTAACATAAAACTGTGTGAAAAGTTTGGGAACCAGTGCCCTAGATAGATGTAATAAGACTAAAGTGAGCATACGCACTGAAAAGCTGCCACAATTTTTTGTTTAAATGGGGTTTTAACCCAAGTTAGAACGATACAGTGGATTCAAATTGCAGACTTTTAGAGTTAGAAAATGAATGATAATAATGTTTCATCAATAGTTACACATTTGTTAAACAAGTAAACTTCACTTTCATGAACCAGTGAGAGACCGGATGTGAATAAAGAGTGTGGAGAGATGAAATTGTTTATGTAATAATCTAAGATGAGGTCTGATAAAGACCTTTTGTGCCCTCTGTAATGCTTTTTGCGCTACCGCTCACAGGATGGGTATGGGGTGCACAATAAACTAGCAGCCTCCGGCGGCAACAATAAGAAAATAAAAAAGAGCTGTCTCGTTAATAGATCTGTAAGTGCCTTTTTTCATATCTGAAGCATGTAGATGGAAAGGCTCGTGAATCCTGAAGGCGCCTCCAACTCCTTAGCTTAATCTCAACTATCACGATGATCAGCAAGGTACAGAAACAAGCATATATAGAAATGGGGAAAACCCCTCTAAATGCTCTCCAGCAAGAAATGGCCGGCGCGAGGAAAATGTCGACCGAAATGCTAATCCGGATGCCACTTGATGCTTGGGTAAACTTATTGGGCACGTTTATTGACTCTGTCAATACAGTACAGAGCACGGAATTCTATCAGTTAGCCATTCAATGGATTAACAATTCAAAGGGTTAACCATTCAAAGGGTTAACAGTTTAAAGGATTAACCATTCAAAGGGTTACCCGTTTAAAGGGTTAACCATTGAAAGGGTTATACATTGAAAGGTTTAGCCATTCAAAGTGTTAAGCCTTCAAAAGCTTAACCATTCAAAAAGTTTCAATAAGCTGAAGAACGCGAGAGGAAAATCATTGGATATTTTATGAAGAGGTCTGTTTCTCTGGTTAACGTTTGTGTTAATACCGCCTTTGGACTTCCTGGGGGGAAAAAATACACCAAATCTCAACTACATAAGAGTTGGCCTTGAAAAGGATCAACGTAAAATGAATATAAATACGAACATACAAATTTAACTTGGTTAAACCATCAATCAATAGGTAATGCTGACGTCAAAGCACCCAAATACGTGTAATTGGCGTTTGAATTCTCTAAAACTGCTTGTTAAGCAACAATTTTTGTAGGACTTTCCGATGGAGGATTCAGAGAAGGCAGAAAATGGTACTCGACAACCCTAGCTCCTCTCTCTCTCTCTCGGGGCCTCTCCGCCGCTACCAACTTCAGTGTTGAACTTACAGGTGTCCGTAGCGGTGTAGCGCGCCGCTCTCCGCTAACATACGCCACGTGGGTATTCACCGAGAGTTTAAAACGCCACTAAATATTAGAGGAATTCTGTACAGCCTTAGGAAATAGCATCCGTAAAGGCCAACCCTATCTAGAGACTGATTCCAGCCAGTGGAATAAACTCGTTTAGCAACTGTTGGAAGTCAGGAGGTGGGTGAGAGGGCGTGCTCAGGTGTGACGGGTGCAGACAAGAGGCGCCTTCCAGGCTCCACACACTTTTCAACTCCGTCGAAAAGATATTCAACCAGAGGACAGACAACTAACTGCACGGTAAGACCATCAACACTGACCGTGGCTATGTCATGCTTTCTCACGCTTTACACCTGTTCACAACAGCCGATGAGTGTATAATTGATTTGTAGAAATCACTTAACGAATAAAACTTCCTATCTAAATCATCAAACTCATTGTTTCAGATATTATATAAATATATATATTCCAATTTATGTTCAATTGTGCTTAAGACTAATTTTTTTTCTTGGTAAAGTTGTTTGGTTAGGTCTACCTGGTACTTTGGTATACTCGTATAATATTTTCCTTTTTATGGGGGAGGAGCAGAGCAGCGTCTGACTCAGTTGGCCTAAGCTATATGATTTTTAAACTATATTTCCACAATAAATTTGTCCGGAGTTTGTCTTTTTCGTAGTTAATAAGTGTATACTTATTGTAAGCCTACATGAAATTAACTACGAGAAACATTTCAAAAGGGGAAAACTTGTGGACATATAAAAACTAAATTCAAGACAATTATATTTACCAATATATGAAAAGACGTAGAGAGGTGAGAAATGAGAGGTGCATTTGTGACGAAGTTTAACAGCGTGTAGAGCCTACTTGTGAGCTATAAGCCAACTACACACACACACTTGCTAACTCATATAATTATATATATATATATATATATATATATATATATATATATATATATATATATATATATATATATATATATGTGTGTGTGTGTGTGTATATCACGAAAATAAACACGTGATTAAGAATGTGACAATGTCAGACCACGGAGGAAAATGAAACAGGAATTTCCTTAAGTACTTTCGTATATTAAATACATCTTCCTTCTGAGGATGTATTTAATATACGAAAGTACTTAAGGAAATTCCTGTTTCATTTTCCTCCGTGGTCTGACAGTCATATATATATATATATATATATATATATATATATATATATATATATATATATATATATATATATTTTGAAGGACACTAACTTACTCATTTTAATAACGTTTAAAAACATGAAAAGAAGGATGGATAGTTAATAACTAGTGTGTGATCCAAGTACTGGCTTAGCAAGCATGTAATACCCAGACTAGTGCCCCCCTCTCCCTGCAATTAGTCTGCAACCAGCGCTCATCAAAGAAAAGGGAACAGAAGTTTTTTTAAGTATGAAAGACGCTTCACAAATACCAGGAAAAGTAAAGCGGACACACTTATCTTCCTCAGTAGGGTTACGACAATGGTTACTCGGAAGACGCACACACCTCCGGGATGCCTATTATAGAGTAAAGAAATTAACACCGCGTTGCTAAAAGCCCTTTATTTTATAACTAAGATATGCGTTAATATCCTGTGCGGCTGCCGTTTACACTTAGTGAAGGAACACTTTTGGCGAATATTATCAAGAAATCCTTAAAACCTGTCTTTTCTTGAAGAGTTAAGGACGCCGCATGTTTCAATGCAACTCTGGCAGTTGTGTAGCAGAAGGAAGAGGTGTAGAAGCATAATTAAGACAAGGATTGCCATTTATGCGGCCTGGACAAGTCGAACGGTAAGAGAACCAATGAGGATATGGAAGCTGATATCCTTCACCGCAAGCAGTAGCCTAAGTACGTAATTATCGAACTAAATCGCTAAGCATGAACGGCTGTATAGTGCAGCAGATGGTCTTAGAGAGCAATAAGAATGCAAATCAAACGTAACTGAGTGGGAATAATGTAGACCTACTGCTATAGGATAATTTACTCTTCTTAGATTAACGGTATATTTGATTTAGTTGGAACATTTCTACTGTCGAGGAAAGAGACGAAATATACTTACTGATAAAAATTAATCAGGGACAATGCAAAGAACTTTTGAAATCTTTCAAAAGAGGAATAATCTTGTGGATAAATAACACCCGCAGACAGACACCTGAACACCATAGTTGTTGACAGCGGGATAACCACGAGGAAGCCCACGGCATATGGGCCCCATAATGCCCTTCAACGACACCAGGTTTATAAATAATAGTTTGTCTCTAAGTCGTAGTAATCAAGGGGTTCTCTACATATAGTTTTCAGTTCATTTACTTCAGTATTTGCCTAATGTTCTCAACGTGTGCATTTGTCTTCATTTTAAAATTAATATTTAAAAAATTAGGCTACCCTGGAAACACAAACCGGAACTGTCTCTATTTTCCGCTTGTTAAAACTTGTAATAAAGTTGTTACATCTTAGCTTGACGTGATTATTGACGTATTAGAACGTTGTTACAACTTGCTATATTGGTTGTTATAATTGGTTAGGTGTTAAAAAATTTCGAACGTTGTACCAACGTCGTAGTTTCGGTGTGTGTGTTTGGCGGGTATCTGCTCTCCTCTCCGTGTTTTAGACCTTCTGGGGAAACACCAGAAGCAATCAGTCGTATTCTACCTCCACGGGACAATTAAAATCTACTGCAAACAACCATAGCATTAGAATAACATTTCCTACATTTAGCTTACCGGGGAGGCGAGCTGCCACACCAAACATATGATTATATTTGTTGCCTATATAAAGAAGTACAGAACTAGGAAATAATACGCACTAGTTATGTGATAAAGCCACTCATGTGTCCTTCGTCGCTAAATTCCTACAACGACACGGATTTTCGACCCTGACCACACTTGCCACTCTCAGTTCGAGCCGAGAAGCATATTAAAAACCAAGACACGGAGGGACGTGCAGTCGTGGTGTTGGTCGATACATTAGGCAGCTAGGACTGAGAAGGTTGTGTTTTGTGGTTGTATTCCTGGTCCTGATCAAAACATAAGTAGGTTGTGTCCGGTCTTTACAAGTAACAAAATGGTATAGGCCGTATAGATTTCAGAACAGCGTATTTCCAGAGTCTACTACGGGCTCATCATAGCCCGTGCTACTTGGAACTTTTGTTATGAGAATCTGAATCTAAAAAACAACAACAACAGCAGCATATTTTCAATTGTGCTTCTTTCTGGATAACAGATTGTGAGCCTGTCTTCCGGATTTATTAAATGCATAAATCTGGTCAAAACTCACACGCGCACACACACATTATATATATATATATCTATATATATATATATATATATATATATATATATATATATATATATATATATATATATATATATATATATATATATATATAGTATATTATATATATACCAGGAGGATGACCACGGCTGCCAGCTACGCTTGGAGGGCATTTTTGCACTTCTGAGTTATTAGGCTATTACTCCAGAAATTCCAGCATGTAAAAAGAAAATAAGAGTGTATCATAACGGGATAAAAATCTGTGTGCAAGTGTCAAGGGGTTGAAAACATTTCATGTGAATGACAGCGTTTACAAGAAATATCTCGTGTCCAGTGAATGTCTACGCGTCCACGGAACTCTCACGTGCCCCCTAAAAATGCCTTCACGTCCAGGGCCTGTCCACTTTTCCAGAAGTCAGAGTGTGATACTCTGCAATTCTACAAATAAAATTGAAACAAATAAGGCCACTGTGAAAATAAATTTCCGAAAATAAATGAGCAACAGGAACAAAACAAGGGAAATAATCTCACAGGTCTGAGCCAAAGAACAAATAATGACATACCAACTTGCTAGAAACGAATCATGCCATCAACTGCAGTTACTGCAACCGATTGTAATTGTTTCTCATCATCAATAGGATGAATTGCAAATAATATCACAGTTTCATAAACAGCTATACATAACTATCTTATCCTAAGAGCACCTATCTTCTCTATAGGTCAAGCTATACCCAACCAGTTTCTCATACGTTTTCTCTATAATCTGCGCCAAAGCGCACAACCAATCAAAAATACAAACCACAATTGATGAACAATTCACAGATGGGTTTTCGCCAGCTATTGCGTTACTCTGCAGTAAATAACTACAACGCCAAGCTTTCCCCGATATGAATATCCAGTGGGATTATTTTTGTCCTTCGAAAGGTCATTCTTACTGTTGACGTATTACAATAGCCTTCTCCAGCTACGTTACTCTGAATTCAGAAGTTACGATCTTCAGTGCAATCGCTCTTAGCCTATTACAATAGCAGACACCAGTAAGCCAGTGTAAACGACGCTACATCTCCTTACTGCAAATTAATACTGTCGCTCTACAAATATAATTCTTGGCCCACTAACCTTTCTCGCATACATCAAAGACCTGGCAATCGACACCCAGCACCTCAAGCCAATGGGCCCCTTGTTTGCTGACAAAACAACTCATCTTTTCAACTACAATGAAAAACTTTCAAGATAGTAGAATATATTCTTAAACATTCACAGCTTAAACGATTAAAAACTAAACTCAAAATTTTTAACAAATCAAGTCAATAAATTAAAGAATAAACTAATCCCAAAATAAGTGCTGAAAATATTAAAGATTTCTAGCCCTATATATAAAGTCCAGGCAGCGAAATATAGCCTATATAGGCCTAACTAGGTATCTAAACTCATAATCATACTAAAATCATACATGAACCTTGCAATGTCTTCATACACTATACTATACACTCATTTCCCTGTATCACACCATCTGCAGTACCATAAAGACCCTCAACATGCTAAATATAAATACACTAAACACATTCTCACGAAGTTGGTGTTCTTAAAACGGTTTCCAAAGGGACTCAAGTAGTACCCACGAACACCGCCCCTACACGAGTAGGTTCGTACGACTGACATGAGGCTCTTTCCACAACTAAAAAAAAAAAAACTTAACTGCAAAAGCAGACTAAAAGATTTAACACTTGTTTCAATGTAAAGGGGACAACAATGCGAGACATGATCACAACATACAAGTTTCTAGGAGATATAGGTAAAACAGACAAAGACAACCTGAACAGATCAAGGCGAAACAAAAAACAGATGGTACGCGTGGAAAATATTAACAAAGATAAACTAGAGTAGAGGGTTGGAATTAAGTTTTCCTTTTGTGTACAAAGTGATTAACAAGCGAAATGAAACAAAGAAGGGAGTTGTAGAGATGGATAGAGGCTCTATCATCATTTTATAAAATATG